TTTAATGTAACCATCGAAATTTGACTTCGCAGGGTAAGTTTCACACTCCTCACATTATCACCAAAGACTTGTTAGATTATTTATACGTCTTTGTTTTGAAGCATATCTAAGTTCAAGTATTTCTTGACCAGGCAAAATTACCCCCCCCCCTTAAATATTAAGGCCCCGACATTAACTTCTTGGGAAAAAAAATTGTACTTAACCGAAACCGTTTCCACTATAGACATACAACACTAGTCTACAAACCAAGTCACGTGACCGCACCAACTGACCTCTTCTTTCTCTCTGTATTGAGGGGGTGGGTTGGCAGGCCTGACGGGCGCCGAGAATGGGGCGTCAAGCATCTCTCTTGTACTCGTGAGCACTCGACGTTGTGGCATATTAGGTTCTCTTGTGTGCTGAAACTAGAAAAGAGACATGGCTCTAGGGTTATCTGTCCATGACGCCGACAAAAACACATTTTAGACACCCACCTTCCCCTTACCACACGCGTCAACTTTGGACACTGTCAAATTTTCAGTCATGTGTTGTTGTGAGTGCATACACAGGTGCACATGCTTTACTCATGCATTTTTTAATTAACAAAAATGTTTAGAAATTTAGAAAAAGCTGTAAGCCACCACGAGAATTTAAGCAAATTTTCTGTTAGTTATTTTTCTTTCTTTAATTAGCTAGACAAACTTTTTTTTTTAAAAAAGCGCCGCTTTGCTGAAAAAGATCCCAGCTTACTTCCCCTTCTGGCTTATTTAAAAACTAGCTGTATGATTTTTTAAACCAACGATATGAAACACATGCAAATATGCATAAGAAGACAAAAAAATCAACACGGCCGATTAAATCACTCTATGATAAATCGATATTGATTTCGAGGGCCACTTACGTACACTGGTATTTCTTATTCAACTATATTTCAATACAAATTAACGATCTGAAATATCGATCTATCGATACCAATTCGGAACCCATGAACGTAAGCCAAAATTATTTTGCTAACAAGGAAAAGGCTATCGGGTCGAGGTATAGATCTTAAAGCTGAAGCACGGTTGTTGCATTAGTTGGTTTCGTTCAGAAAATTGTTGATCGTAAAGTTAAGCACTGAACATTTTTCTTAACAATTTAAATAGGCGCAAGCGTGACTATTTAACCAACAACCGCCAAGTAATTGAGGTGTAGGCTATAAATTGTTTATGCTCGAGTGATCTCGCTATTGATTTACAAACAAACAAAGTCAACATTGCCCTTATCGATGTGTTTACACTTGGTAATAAAATTAAAAACTCTACCAGTTTTGTTAGCTATAAAAACAAATCTAAATCGTAAAAAAAAAAAGATTTTGAGATTAAATTAACAAAGTAACAACAATAATTTAAATGTATATTTGCATTCAAATGAGTTTGACCATATTTAAAAATTTTTTTTTGTAATTTCTGAAAATCGCTGCCAATATTTGAAAACTTTCTCCCCAGTTATGTCCCCTAGTGATGAGTTAACCCCCATTACACAATAACATACCTGACATTAATTAACCCTATGCAGACATTACTCAATTACTGACACTGTCTTCAGTAGTCTGGTACTTGATGGTGACTATAATTGTCATTACGTGTCTATTCTTAACATTCCAAAAGGTTTTGCTAGTTTGATTGACTAAATAATGGTATACTGATAAAAGTAGTTTAATATAAAATGATATACATGCACGTAGGCCCCAAAACACTAAATAAAGGTGCCCTTAATAGTATAATTATTTATGTATACGTATAACAACTACAGTTCAGTAATATCCTAATATATAATTCCCCATGTGCGCACTTCTCTCTCTCTGTCCGCAAAATATTTTCGCCGGACATCACGTCAGAATCGGCAGCGATATATGGATACCTTTATACGGACTTTTGTTGAAAAAAATATGTTAGATGTTTTAAATGTATAACCATAATTTTATTTAAAGAAGAAAAATAAAAAATAAAGGCGTATTCGAATGTAGAGAAACAGTATTATTTATGCAACCGGAAAAGTGTATAAACTTGGGACAAGAACGCATTTAACAATGACGTCGCTTATTGTTTACACTAAAAAAAGGAGCACGAAACTGATGACGTCATCTTCCGAGTTTAGAATAAAAAGAAATGAACTATTTCATTCAAATATGATTTAGAGCTATGTAAATATTGTATACACTATGAAATGTATACAATACGATTTTCTCGGCCTAAACTTAAAAAATTTATTTTATCTATTTGGATTCTAGATCTAGAGATTCTAGATCTAGATATTGATCTCGATCTAGATATTCTAGATCATCTAGATCTAGATCTAGATGATCTACAAAGCTAAGTTGTCGGGTGCCCGATAGGGCACTTCCCGGCGCCGCAGGCGCTTCAAATTTGGCAGGATCTTGCCTTGGGGCGACAGAACACGGGGGCCGGTTGGCCAAAAAAATCTACGATGAGGGGGTCAAAACTGACCTCGACTGACCGGCGCCTTATATGGGCGAATTAATTAAGCATTCACATTCTCAATGTTTTCGAAAGCCTAAGCGAAGCTGGGCAGCATGCCTAGTATATTTATAAATAGCGTACTGAAAGCTAGACGTTACTTTGATGCAGGAAAAAGTCAACACGATAATTTCAAAACTCTGGATATGATAAAAACTGTTGACAGGAAAAAAAAAGCGAACGATTTTGTAATCAGTTTAACATTGAGCTTACCAGAAGCCAGATTTTTTAAATCGGCGTATGTTACGGCAGTATACATATACGCTTACTTTAATGTAAACAGCCTATTATCAAATGACAACAAAAACACACAGTAGCTCACCCAAGAGCCGTCATTGGCTGAAGAAGGTGCGAAGTTTCTTCCTTTAGTCATGGCAAATTGTGAAGTATTCCAACGTCTAAAACATCTAAATAAAAAAGCGAATTAGGTACTCAGAAATCTAGAAATAAACCTCCATGAAATAAACACAAGAGTCCTTAACGAAGCTGGTCGCTACACAAACGTATACCATTCGTATCAACGGTACGTAAGCCAAGCAAAGATAAACGTCGATTAAAGGGGAATAAGCAGCTAATTGCACGCAAGCCCCCTGCGTAACGGGATCTCATTAAAAATGTCGGGACCGAAGTTTTCTATTGAACCTTTGTGTCTTGGGTCTGTGAGAAAAAAAAATCAGAGCTTCTTTAAATATGCAGCGAAACCCCGCCGTCACGTTTGATTATAATCCAGGAGCTTTAGTGTAGGTCTCCTGGGTCGCAATGCTGGTCTGTCCTGGCATTTAGATAAGGCTTGTGACACAATAGGGCTTGTTTGCTACACACTTGTGTATGACACGTGTAGTTTGGTCTGTGTCTTAATCCTGACATGTTTTTGTTTCTGATACAACGCTTTATTAGCATAAACATTGCGTGCTGTAATTTGTAGGCTACAGCCCAACCCGCTCTATAATTTATAGTTCACAGTCTATAATATACACACCATACAACTAGTTCCACAATCCGCAATCAACCAAATACACTCACTACTTACCAGATACAATATACATACTTATTAATTCATGCTAACACGATCAAGACCACGATCATTCATGTACAATAAATTCCTCACGAAAAATTTATTATCCGCTTATATAGCACACATTACACTCATCACTCAAATCCCACACAGTGACACCCGCCCCACAATTCCCGTCACACACCCGGCCCACAATTCCCGTCACACACCCGCCCCACAACTCCCGTCACACACCCGACCTAATTGTGTACCACATTCAACTGGTTTGAACCTTAGGCCTCGGGAAATCACCCATTGTTGTTCTCATCGATACTAATGGCGCCCCGTGCACGTGATATCATTGAACGGTCACGCTGGTTTGATTCCAGACCTTTTGTTCTGTGGTTTGACTCGCTTGAATACGCCAACAGGACTAAATAGAATCGTATTGAGTTTTTTTTTTTTTACAGCACTGGTATGGTTTATTTTACAAGGATAAGACTAGGACCACAGTTGGGAATTATGGAGAAAAACTGGGCTAAATCATAAGGGCTAAGAAATACAAAAGCGCAAATGTGGATGGATTTGATAAACCTTACGTAATTGAACTAGCAACATCACCATACAAGCATTAAATTGAAATCACTAAGAAAAGAGGAAAGTAGGTAGACCAAAACAAACTTGGAAAAGATCAGTTGTCAGTGAAGCAGAAGCAGTCTGAATGTCGTGGGCCCAACTTGGAGGAATCGCCCAGGACCGAGTACGATGAAGAGGTATGGTTGTGTCTGTATGCTCCACAAGGGTTCGATATGGAATGACAATGACGATGATGGTTTGGTCAGAGTTTCTTTCCGTTATATCTACGGGTGAGGGAACTGCCCCTCCCCCCTCCCGGAGCACATCTACCACTCACCACCTCCCACTCGGATTAATGTTGCAATAGAAATATATATTGTTTAAAAACAAAATATATAGTCTACTTCAAGCAATAAAATTTAAAATGCCCAATCGGAGACAAAGGTCTATAAAAACCTGGTCCTGTTGGTGTTTGAGATTATGGTATCGATATATTTAGCAAATAGATTCGACTCCACACCCCTCCTGTTGACAAGTGTTTTATTGTGTCTCGAACAGGGGGTGGTTTTCGTGAAATACAATGTCGAGCAACGTTGTCAAGTCGAGATGTGTAGAGGTTAACAACACACCACTTGAACCTACACATGTGCTCTCTGACAACCAGAGCTCCATGCCGTATATTCTTTGAATTGTTATATAAGTGTGCTCTAGCGAGCTGAATGGCTCTATAAATTACATTACAAAACATATTGCCCCCCCCCCCCCCCCGCACTAGCAATGTAGTAAATCTACTCTTCCGAACGTGACAGACCAAGGACAGATAAAGTAGAGTTCACCTGTTTCTGTGAACTCAGCGTTTTAAAAAAAAGTTTGGTCAGCACTATTCACAGCCGCCATAACTTTCCCTCACGTGACTTAAAGGACGTCATACAGACTCGAGCCAAGGAACTTAACTCGAGTCACCACATACATAACACAAATGTCCTTTAGTCATCACACTACCCTCAGGGCCCATACAAATGTCATTTAGTCACAAAATTACCCGGTCAGGGACCATACACAAATGACATTTAGTCACCACACTACACGTAAGGGACCATACAAAAATGTCATTTAGTCACCACACTTCCCGTCTGGGACCATACACAAATGTCATTTAGTCACCACACTTCCCGTCTGGGACCACGCACAAGTATGTCATTTAGTCACAGAAACTACCCGTCAGGTCCCCCCCCCCCCCTTTTTACTTTCTCGTATATAAGAAGTATAGAGAAAGTCTTGTAATCGTGCAAAAAAAAAAAATCGAGATTTTTACAAATCTCGACGTTTTACACCTCACTGATATGGAAAAACATAATTTTGCAATCTTGTCCGTATGTCTGTGTGTGTGTGTGTCTGTCTGTCTGTCTGTGTGTAAACACGATAACTTGAGTACCGTTACAGCTAGGTTGATGAAATTTCATATATAAGTATTTTATCAAAATCGTAGATCCGTATCAACTTTTGAGTGATTTCCGATAACCGGAAGTGGTACTTTTTGTACGTTGAATTTTTCAAAATCCTATAATTTGAGTACTATTTCAGATAGATAAATGAAATTTCACATGTAAGTAAAAGATCTAATTCTCTACCTTCTGTCAAATTTTGAGTAATTTACGTTGACCGGAAGCACTAATTTACGCTATTTCCGATTTCTCAAAAAAAAAACCGCATGTAAATTTATAAAGTACTAATAATATTGCGCACCAATATGCACATTTTGTTTTGGCGTTCGCTTGGTGCGCAATTCTTTTTTCTATGAGATTCTATTCTATTTTTAAAAGTTTAAGTAATTAAAAAAAATTCATAAAAAACGTTTTAATAACAAGCTTTTATGTAATGATGCACTAAAAAGTAGAAAATAAATTATAGACTACTATTTAAATAACTATAAAGAAAAGCGTGGGTCACTTTAGTATCTATTGGATACCTTTACTAATGTTAAGGAAGACACCCACGCTTTTCTTTATAGTTATTTAAATAGTAGTCTATAATTTATTTTCTACTTTTTAGTGCATCATTACATAAAAGCTTGTTATTAAAACGTTTTTTATGAATTTTTTTTTCAGTACTTTACATGTTTTATTTACAATAGAGTTACATGACTAAAAACCATTGCGCGCCTACTGAACATCACGTTCAGTAGGCGCGCAATGGTTTTTGAACGCAGCCATTACGTGATGGCGCAGCTATTGAAGGTGATGACGCGTGTGGTGTGGTTGGCTAGGCATGCCTACTAATTCGGTCCAAATTTTTATTAATTCATAAAAAATTAATTAGGCATCCAATTAAGTCAAATTTAGTTTCAGATTGCATTGTCTTCATGTCTTGACCCACGTGTCAAATGTGAATCGTATCGGTCAAGTAGAAGTTTCCGAATTTTCACTCCTGCGTTTCGATCTAGACTGACGACAGACAGACTGGCGACTGACGAGGAAGTGAGTTAAATAAAAGCTTGTAAAAATCATGTCTATATTCCAAGTTATATAAGAATATTCGAGAAAGTTTAGGGGAGAACACTACCGGTTTATTTAATACATCGTCGTCACAAATATCGGACCCTTCCCCCTTACAAGTGTGACATCCTTTAAGGTTTAAGGACGACCCCTAGGCCCTTGGCTACAGTTCATGTGTTCTTTTGTGTCAGCAATATTATTTTTGTAATATGAAACTTTGCGTGTTATAGTTATAGGCTTCTAATTTCTGCCCAAGTAGGCCTACATATTTGAGTCCAGTCTGGTTAAATGACTGTTATTTGTTCCATCCACGACGTAGTTCTAATTTTAAAAATCTAATCACCACACGCGGTATCTCGCGAGATTTTGATTTGTTTATAAACCGTTATGGCGGACACCGTGCGTAGAGATGTGTAAACAACAGATGAATGGTAAGAAAAATGCTGAAGAAATAAACAAAACATAATTTAAAAACACGGTCTGACTCTAAAATAAATCGTTTAAACACAAAAGTAGTAAACAGCGAACTAATTAGATTTCTAAATGTAGGTATGTCAGTATTTTAAATAGAATCTATATTATTATTAGGCTAGGCCTAGGCCCGCCTAGGGCGCTAGGCGCCTAAATTAATAAACTAATTATTAATTAAATAAAATTAATAAATTATTTGGTATTTTCAGTTGTAAATTTAAAATATTTATTATTTAAGTAGATATATGTAACAATTTGTTTATGGCTTATATTATCATTTTATGGAATGTGTATTTTAATGATTGTTATCATCTGAAATTAATAATATCTCCTTTAAATTAAAATTAAGCTTTTTGCTACTTTTTGCATGATTAAACTTTTATTTTGAACATCTAAATTGCAGTTTAAACATTAATTGAAGAATGGTTAGTCAGGAGGAAGACATCACTGCTTTGCAGAATTTGTCCAGGACTGCATCAGTATATTTGGACAAATTGGATCGCTATGACAGCCAGGAATTATTGTCATGCAGCATGGCTCATTGGATGCTATCTAATGATGTGTTTAGAATGCCAACAGAACAGCTTCAAGGCATCATTGCTCAAATGAATCCTAAAGACAATACTTGTATTATGCTATTTCCAGTAGATGAAACAGTGCCACAATTGTGTTACAGGTTAGTTAACTGATAATTTGTTACATGTTTGTCACTCTTCTATTTCGGGCAGGGTGGGGTAAAAAAGATCCAACAGCGTGTGAGCCTGCTGTGAGGTGGGTGGGAGCATTGTATTTGGGTCCATGTGGACATCTACATGTTAAAATAAAATAACAAATCTTCAGTTACCATTTATGAAAATCATTTAATTCACTCATAGTTTTTATTTTTAACTACACATATATAATGATAATGGTATAAAAATTTTTGTTTCAGGGAGGTCCATAACATTGTACGAGAGCTAACCTTTGGTATCTATGTCATGCATCAAACACCTGTCATTTCTCTGGAAGCCAACTTTGATCAAGCCACACTGTGTCAGATTCCCCCAGCATATTTCAACACGCGTGTTGGCCAAATTTTGATTAGTGTGGACTACATGATCAAAGCTATCTGGCATGGAGCATACTTTCCTAAAGAAAAACGCTCAAAGTTTGGAGAGAGGTGGCGTACAAATCTTGATGTGAACAGTTTGGGAAAGGCTGAAACTAAGAAACCATTATTAACAGAGTTTGTTAGTGCAGGTACAAATAACTACTTCTTACAAGACTTTCAGATTTATAATGTATTAAACTAAACTTTCTATTGCTTTATCCATGAAATGTATGTTTTCCCAGGACTAATGGATCTGACCAAGGATCCAGACTTTGCCCGTGCTTATGATAGCCTGCCAGCAGAACTGCCAGGGGATACAGAGATGCTGGAAGAGACAGAATTTTTCATGAGTCATGTTGAGAACATGAGCATGAGAATGGTCTTAACCCAAAAAGATGTGGAATTCCATCAAAACATGTACATTATAGAGTCAGTCCTTTTTCACTCTTTGATAATGTGATTTATAAACTGTTACTTTGCCATCAAAGGCAAACTAAAATAGCACAAACAAGATGATATGTTGTGACTATTAAACTTTAGTTCATGTCAAAATTAGATGAGAAACTCAATTCTATGATAGTTTCTGTACAACATACTATTTGAAAGATGAAACTATTTTTATATTCCTTCTGGTAAAGTTGATTGAAAAAACAGATTCTGTTTAAAAGTACTAAAACTTCACAGCATTTTCATTAAATAACAGTATAAAATTAAACTACTGTTACTTACTAAAAAAAACTTATAACTGAGTAAATTATAAATCAGTTTTTGTGTTATCTCTCCCAGTGCTGATTACAAAGTTTCAAGTATAGTGCGATTAATGGACAATCAGATTGATCACACAGGCTATGAACGGCTAAAAACAAAACTTCAAATGCAGGAAGATATTATCCAGGTTCTTATTTTTGTTTCACACAATCTTGTTTTAGTAAATACAAATTGATTTGTAGCATATTATTGTTTTCATTACTATTTGTTTTACAAAAATATTTTTCTTTGATCAGGTGGCCATATGCAAATTTTTAATTCTGAACCTGATTATATCAGTTTTTAAAAGCTGCAAAAAAAAAAAGATTCTTTGCAGATGATGTTGAGTTCATGTGTTTTTTTTTCTTAACATGTGAAGTTTTATGAATGGATAATGTGGTCAGGACTATGCCCAGCAACCTTTACTTTCCCTAACTAAAGAGTTAGGTACCCATCAGTGCTGGGTGGACTCAGGGAAGTCCCACTGACTTGAACGTGGATTCAAACTTGAGACTTTTTGGTTATCAGTCTAGTGCTCTACCGCTAGGCCATGCTGTACCACTTTTAAAAGCCGTTTCATTGTTTTAACAATATTTCACTGATCTGACAGAAATACATAAGTGCCAAGCAAGAAACAAGAAGGCAGCTGGAATTACTGAAGCTTATCAGTTACCTTGTTCCTTTCTTGCTAGGCATGCGCAAGAGGATGAGAATCCCTGACTTCAACAGACTCATGAATCCTTACTCTAGTAAGCATTGAACATTCTTTTTCTGAATCCAACATTTGTCTAGCAGTAAGCATGGAACATTCTTTTTTTGAACCCAGCATTTGTCTAAGAGGCTTGGTTTTCAGTACTGTTAGAATGTTGCTTGAATTGATTGTTTAAACTCAACTGGATCCATTTTTCAGGTGATGAATGTAGAACAGAAAGAGAGTTACCTCCCTTAATGGTTGGCCCTGACTACAAATGTAAAAATTTCTTAGCAAACAGCACATATTTCCATCTACATGGAGGTAATTACTTTAATCTGGTGTTTAAAATAAGTTAACATCATTGCTTCAATCTACCATTACTCTGTACTGGTTATTTTTAATAGTCTCCAACGTGAACTAACTCATATGAAATGAGTGTAATATTTATTTTTCTATAATTTTATTGTATTTTACAATTATTTTTTTTAGGTATTAACATTTTAAATGATCACACTGTACTGTACATTTTTGTTAGGTATCAACCTTGACCTTGAAACAGATGATATGAAACCTGCCTCTGAAGAGTTTGTCAACGAATATCCCAACATCTTTGAGGCAGCTATGAAAGAGTTTAACCAACATTTAAATCCAGAACAACAAAGAGTCAGAGATCACTACAACATACCCATCATTAAAGTTGAAGGAAAGCCGTAAGTTACACTGTTTATAGATATTTATTAAATTACTATGTAAATCAATTATTCAATGTGATTGTATAGTGTGTAAAATAACTAGAAACAAAGTTCTCTTTTCTTATATAGTTATTTTAATTTTTAAACTTATTTATATCAAACATTTTATATTTAAAAGTGAAAAAACAAGTTTATTTATCAAAACTTCTTGTTAATCTACTTGCTTTACGTATAGCAATTATTAACAATTTGATAATTTGAAAAGATTTTTATTTTTAGTGTTGTAAGGTACACTAATCTTCACTCTGTTACAGTATTAAGAAAAAAAATTAATGTAAGTTTTTTTTATTTATAAAATCGCATTTCTCTTCATAGGTATTATGCATTTGTGATTGAATTTGAAACATTTTATGGAGCTTCTCCCCAAAAACCTTTGTGGGTTCGTGCTTACTATGATGAAATGGATAAGTTGAAGCCTAAGAGATTACCATTGACAGATATACACATCCATGAGCAATTTAAGAAAAATTTTGGAAACAAAAAAGCTATAAAATATAAGGTGAGTAGAAGAATAATCCCTCTCTAATCAGATTGTATGCATGTTTTATTTAGATTACTGCTGTCCTCCATAAAAAATTGAGATATTTACACTACTAATTAGATGACTATGTTTAATTGCTAGAAACAATTTATTTTAATTGTTTGTCTAGTTAACTGATGTTGTATAGATAAATGAGATAAAGATTATGCAATAGAATTATCAACTTAGTCCAGATTTCTTACCATAATATGTGAGTAAGATTATGAAATAGAAACATCAGCGTAGATCAGATTTTTTTACAATAACGTGAGAGAAATGATATAGGATGGATACATCAAAATAGAGCAGATTTAAAAAAAAAAATTTCTTTACGAAAGTAAAATGTAAAAACTCATGGAATAAACAAGAAAAAATGCCAATTGTGATAGAGTTAAGGAAAAAAAAATTCCCATTATCATTAACAGAACTTGAGACTTTAAATATTTATCCTTTTAATTTGATAGACGCCTGTGGTAGGAATCAGAGTCTGCGCTCAAAGAGGTCTGATAGCCATGTTCAATACATTAACCCGCAAAATATCTGGGTCCCGCATTGGCAAGCAAGATGAACAAGGCTTGTCTCTATTACATCATGCAGCCATTCACAATAGACCACAGGTCATTACCCTTCTGCTCATGCTGTTAACAGATGTCAATGTCAGGAGGAATAACATCATGTCATCAGGTACACTGTGATGGGGTCTATACATCTTTGTTTGATGGGTCTATACATCTTTGTTTGATGGGGTCTATACATCTTTGTTTGATGGGGTCTATACATCTTTGATGGGTGCTACACAGCTTTGTTTAATGGGGTATATACATCTTTGTTTGATGGGGTCTATACATCTTTGTTTGATGGGGTCTATACATCTTTGTTTGATTGGTGCTACATAGCTTTGTTTGATGGGTCTATACATCTTTGTTTGATGGGTCTATATATCTTTGTTTGATGGGGTCTATACATCTTTGTTTGATGGGGTCTATAAATCTTTGTTTGATGGGGTCTATACATCTTTGTTTGATGGGGTCTATCTATCTTTGTTTGATGGGTGCTACACAGCTTTGTTTAATGGGTGCAAGTACAACACCTTGATGGGTGCTAGTACAATCTTTTTTTTTTAATGGGTGCTTTTGCTAGTTATTTTTTTATGTGTGCTAGTTCTACACTATGATGAGTGCTGGTACTATGCTAAGCTTTTCAAACCAATGACCTAATGTCTTGACCAGTGGTGTAAAGTTATCTTATTCTCATATTGGAATTGTGGTCTAAAAACTTTGAATTTGAAATTTCTTCCTCTCACTATATGATCAGATCAATGGACACGTTTATATTGACTATTAGAAAGGCTACTATCTGTTAAAAAAATGTATTTTTAACAACTGTTTATAAAATCAATTATTTGTTCATATCTGCATTTAGCTTATACAAAAGCAACTCAAGACATAAAAGAGCCGAGAAGTAGCATAGAACTTTTATTTGTAAGAAGTGAAGTCAAAAAATTTGATAAAAATGATGGTATTTTCTTTTGTTTCATCTGATTCCTGTTGAATTTTATTGGTTTGATAAGAATTTTTTCATTTTGATGAAATTGAGCCAGTAGCGTAGCGAGGGGGGTGGGGGGGACATATGTCCCCGGGCGCCGACCTTAGGGGGTGCCAAAATGGGTTGGAAAAATAAATTGAAAGGTTGAGAGGGGTGCATATAGAAAGTTTGAGGGGGGGGGGGTGTAAATCGAAATCTTTTGTCCCCGGGCACAGGGAAGGGTCGCTACGCCTCTGAATTTAGCATACACTAAGCTTGAATGCTTGATAATTTTGAAATTTTATTGAAAATTATTTTGAGTTTAATTTTTCAGTTAATTTGAGTATATTACTATTAAAATATTAAGGTTCTTTTGAAATAATATTTAATTAATTCTTTTTTACTCATTTCTGCTCTTTATTTACCAATAGATGTGCATACTGCTTTAAAGGGTGTTAAAAATATTTAAAATGTGGTTATTTTTCAATAAACATATTTCATAAGCATATATAAGCATATATATAATTTATATTATTTCAATATGATTACCAAGCCAAGACTAATAGCAGCTAAAACTCCATCTTCTCTCAGGACCCACTGCTCTGCACATGGCAGCCCGGTGTGGGTCTGTTGATGCTGTGAGTTGTCTGTTGGCTAACCATGCAAACCTAATGGCATACGACCAAGATGGCTGGGCACCAATCCACCATGCTGCATTCTTTGATCACTCCATCATTGTCCGGCTGATGCTGCGCAAATGTGGAGACTTGCTGGAACTAACGACCACTAACGAGTTTGTACACTTATGTTGTCTAACTACAAAATTTTCATAAAACTGTTCATCTTATGGATGTAAAATAAAAAAATGTGTTTAGTACTTGTGCAGGTAGAACTGATATATGTGTCCATATTCCAGACTGCTGTCCACTCCTCTCCTGTTGGCTGCCAGCTCTGGCGCCCTGTCGGTGGTCAAATGTTTGATTAATTCTGGGGCTGACATCAGCGCGAAAGATGTTGAGGGAAATAATGTGGTGATACTTGCGGCGCTGAGGTTCCACACATTTGTCTTGGAATATCTCATTGAATTAAACCATCCAGATGCCCCTGTATGGACTATTTTAGTGGGTTAGTCTCTTCAGATATTAATTGGTTAATTAATTGTCTTCTCATATTTTAGATAGTTGGTCTACTCATACTTTGTTGGTCAGTTTCTCTAATCCAAGTCTCAATGGCTTCATTAGTCACCCGCTACTCACACTCTCTTCGTTTCTTGATAGTAAGCCAAAGTATTTAGATTTTACTCTCCAATAATTACATAAATATATACTTATACCAATGATTTATATTTTATACAAACTATATAGGCCTATATATATATATATATATATATATATATATATATGAATGTATTTTAATGTATGCATTTGCTGTGTAGAAATGCTGAATGACAGTGGTATGGTAAAGAAAGACAGTGCTGTGAAATGTCTTGAAGTTCTATCAACATCCAAACCTCACCATTGGAAATGTATATTGGATGCTGGTAATAATTGAGTTATATTTAACTTAAATGTCACATCATTTTGTAAAAGACTTTCTGAGCTAAAGCTTTATGTTAAGTTGGTTTGTACTTCAATCAAATATTCTGAAATGTTTTTCATAATTCTAACACTCCCATTGTTAAACATCATAAAACAAATAGTTTTTTTAACCATAGAACTTAAGATGGATGCCATTGTGTTTGTCTTACCAGATGGGATTCCAGCATTGGTGCGGCTACTTAACATTGAGAATGATGAGCTCCAGTCTGTGGCTGCCTCTGTCATCTGCAACACGTCAGAGAATGAGACAGTTAGACAAGCCTTATCTGCTGCTAATGCCTCCCCCATCTTAATCAAACTGTTGAGGTCACATGTTGATGACATTCAATCTAGGGCAGCCATTATTTTGGCTGACCTGTCCTGTGTGGACCAGAACCAGGTACTCTACTGTTAGTGTCCTGTGCGGCTGACCTCTCCTGTTCTGCTGACCTCTCCTGTGTGGCTGACCTCTCCTGTGTGGCTGACCTCTCCTGTGCGGCTGACCTCTCCTGTGTGGCTGACCTCTCCTGTGTGGCTGACCTCTCCTGTGTGGCTGACCTCTCTTGTGTGGCTGACCTCTCCTGTGTGGCTGACCTCTCATGTGTGGCCACTGTTATTGGTTGTTGGTTGACCTCTCCTGGCTGACCTATCCTGTGTGGCTGACCTATCCTGTGTGGCTGACCTCTCCTGTGTGGCTGGCCTCTCCTGTGTGGCTGACCTCTCCTGTTTGGCTGACCTCTCCTGTGTGGCTGGCCTCTCTTGTGTGGCTGACCTCTCCTGTTCGGCTGACCTCTCCTGTGTGGCTGACCTCTCCTGTGTGGCTGACCTCTCCTGTGTGGCTGACCTCTCCTGTGTGGCTGACCTCTCCTGTGCGGCTGACCTCTCCTGTGTGGCTGGCCTCTCCTGTGTGGCTGACCTCTCCTGTGTGGCTGACCTCTGCTGTGTGGCTGACCTCTCCTGTGTGGCTGACCTCTCCTGTGCGGCTGACCTCTCCTGTGCGGCTGACCTCTCCTGTGTGGCTGACCTCTCCTGTGCGGCTGACCTCTCCTGTGCGGCTGACCTCTCCTGTGCGGCTGACCTCTCCTGTGTGGCTGGCCTCTCCTGTGTGGCTGACCTCTCCTGTGTGGCTGACCTCTGCTGTGTGGCTGACCTCTCCTGTGTGGCTGACCTCTCCTGTGTGGCTGACCTCTCCTGTGCGGCTGACCTCTCCTGTGCGGCTGACCTCTCCTGTGCAGCTGACCTCTCCTGTGCGGCTGACCTCTCCTGTGTGGCTGACCTCTCCTGTGTGGCTGACCTCTCCTGTGTGGCTGACCTCTCCTGTGTGGCTGACCTCTCCTGTGTGGCTGACCTCTCCTGTGTGGCTGACCACTCCTGTGTGGCTGACCACTCCTGTGTGGCTGACCACTCCTGTGTGGCTGACCTCTCATGTGTGGCCACTGTTATTGGTTGTTCTTTGACCTCTCCTGGCTGACCTATCCTGTGTGACTGACTTCTCCTGTGTGGCCACTGTTATTGATCTCTCCTGTGTGGCTGACCTCTCCTGTGCGGCTGACCTCTCCTGTGCGGCTGACCTCTCCTGTGCAGCTGACCTCTCCTGTGCGGCTGACCTCTCCTGTGTGGCTGACCTCTCCTGTGTGGCTGACCTCTCCTGTGTGGCTGACCACTCCTGTGTGGCTGACCTCTCCTGTGCGGCTGACCTCTCCTGTGTGGCTGACCTCTCCTGTGTGGCTGACCTCTCCTGTGTGGCTGACCTCTCCTGTGTGGCTGACCACTCCTGTGTGGCTGACCACTCCTGTGTGGCTGACCTCTCATGTGTGGCCACTGTTATTGGTTGTTCTTTGACCTCTCCTGGCTGACCTATCCTGTGTGACTGACTTCTCCTGTGTGGCCACTGTTATTGATCTCTCCTGTGTGGCTACTATTATTGTTTTTTTTTTGTTTATTTCTCTTTACCTTTCGACCATCTTTACAAATATTTATAACTATACCTCTTTCACTTTGTAAAAGACCTTGATAGCTGAAAATGATGGGGTTCCATTTTCTATTTCTATAGATTTCAATTGATTTCTTTCAGACCCTGATAGCTGAAAATGGTGGGATTCCAGTTACTATATCAATTGATTTCTTTCAGACCCTGATAGCTGAAAATGGTGGGATTCCTCCTCTGGTGGAGCTGCTGAGCTCTGATCTGGAGGATGTCCTGGTCAATGCTGTCAATTGTCTGCGGGTGTTGTGTATAGGGAATCGTGCTAATCAAGATGCAGTGGCTCACTACGGAGGCTTGCAACCTCTGGTGGATTTTTTAGATGTTCCCTCAGGTCTGTTGTAGACTCAAGCTAAATCATAAAATTTAGATGTTTCCTTTGGTCTGTTGTAGAAGCAAACTGAATCATAAAATTTAGATGTTTCCTTTGGTCTGTTGTAGAAGCAAACTAAATCATAAAATCAGGTCTGTTGTAGACTCAAACTGAATCATAAAATTTAGATATTTCCTTGGGTCAGTTGTAGACTCAAACTGAATCATAAAATTTAGATGTTTCCTTTGGTCTGTTGTAGAAGCAAACTGAATCATAAAATTTAGATGTTTCCTTTGGTCTGTTGTAGAAGCAAACTAAATCATAAAATTTAGATGTTTCCTTTGGTCTGTTGTAGAAGCAAACTGAATCATAAAATTTAGATGTTTCCTTTGGTCTGTTGTAGAAGCAAACTGAATCATAAAATTTAGATGTTTCCTTTGGTCTGTTGTAGAAGCAAACTAAATCATAAAATCAGGTCTGTTGTAGACTCAAACTGAATCATAAAATTTAGATATTTCCTTGGGTCAGTTGTAGACTCAAACTGAATCATAAAATTTAGATGTTTCCTTTGGTCTGTTGTAGAAGCAAACTGAATCATAAAATTTAGATATTCCTTCAGGTCTGATGTAGACTCTAAATCATACATTTTAGATGTTCCCTCAGGTCTGTATTACACTCAAACTGAATCATAAAATATATAGCCTAAATGCTTAATTCTGATAGGATGCATTTTTAAAAGATAATTCCTAACTAGTATTATATAGATCAAACCTAACTTGACTTACAATACAATAACAATTTGTATTACAATACATTTTATATATAAGACTAAAAATGGTATCACAATAAGTTATTTAGATGACCACTTAAGTTTATCACAAAAGTTTTTAATTCAAATAACCTTAGTATTTGTATTAAAAAGCCATTTAGATGGGCCTTGTTTTAAAACAACAGTTTTGAATGTAAATGACACCTAATTTTTTATCACCAAAACTTTTGATTTAGATGACCCTTAACTTTATCGACAAAACTTTAAGTGACCCCCCAATTTTATCACCAATACTTTGATTAGATGACTCATAAATTTATCTCTAAAAGTGTGTTTAGATGACCTTTAACCTTGTCACCAAAACTTAGTTTAGATGACCTTTAACCTTGACACCAAAACTTTGTTTAGATGACCTGCAAGCAGGATCAGCAGCTGCTTTGGCTGCAGTCTCATCAAAGAACACAGAAAACCAAAACGCTATCATCAAAGGGGAGGCTCATAAGTATGTTGTCAAGTTTTTAACTTTTAGATGTAGTTGATAAAAAGTTGACATCCACCCATAGTTGATTAAAAGTTGACATCCACCCATAGTTGATAAAAAGGTGACATCCACCCATAGTTGATAAAAAGGTGACATCCACCCATGGTTGATTAAAATAATATCCACAACCCAGGGTGTCATCAGTTGTTTAAAAAAGACAATGAAAAAAAAAATGTGCATCTAGTAATGTTGCTACTGTAAAACTACCATTTTGTTAGTCACAGTTATTGTATTGTATTGAAGTAAGCATGAAATTTGTGTGGTTGCAAAAATTTTATTACTGTAGTTTTCCATTAAAGAACCTTTGCAATGTTTTGATTGTAGACCACTGGTAGAACTGATCAAAAACAGCCGGTCCACGACCGTGCAAGTCAAAGCTGCAAGTGCTCTTGAGGCTTTGGCAAGTCTAAATCCCTACTGTCAAAAACAGTTTCTACAACTTGATGCACCCAAAGCTCTAATACGTCTTTTAAAGGTAAGCAGATAGTCAGATTTGTTTGGACAAGTATACAATATAAAAACAAATTCACTAAATAAAGATTTCATTTTACTTTTACTGAACAAAAAATTTAAGAAACTAGAGTCATAAGGAAATGATTACATAAAAGAAAAATTCTTGTTTTTAAGAAAAACGCAAACTAGGATGCTAGACATATGATCAACATGTTTCATCTATACTAGAACTTGTATGTTAGGTATATGATCAATATGTTTCAGAATGTTTATGTTGAAGTTCGTGAGCAAGGTGCTTGTGCACTTTGGGCACTAGCAGGCAACACCAAAACCCAACAAAAATACATCGCAGAAAGGATCACCATAACCCACATCATTCAGATGTTACTGGAGCCCACAGAGAAACTTCTCTATGTTGGTAAGCTTGGACTGTCATGCTATAATCTAGACTGTCTTTATTATTGTAAGCTTGGACTGTCATGCTCTCCTCTAGACTGTTTTTGTTATTGTAAGCTTGTACTGTCATGCTATAATCTAGACTGTCTTTATTATTGTAAGCTTGGACTGTCATGCTCTCCTCTAGACTGTTTTTATTATTGTAAGCTTGGACTGTCATGCTGTCCTCTAGAATGTTTTTATTATTGTAAGCTTGTACTGTCATGCTGTCCTTTACACTGTCTATTATTGTAAGCTTGTCATATTATCCTCTTAATTTGAGAAGATTTTTCATATGTAAAATCACCTAGACATAAAACAGTAAAATACCTGCATATTTAATTATAATAATTCCCTCTTGGCCAGACATTACTCAGGAGGCTGGCTGTAATTGAGCACATGTTGTGTTGCTGCCCACAGGTTGTATGACAGCAATAGCGCTAGGCTCAGAAAACATGGCCAACCAAAACAAGCTGGCTGCTGCTGATGCCTTCTCCCAGCTAGTAAGGTTACTGCGGTCACCAAAGACATCCCAGAAGGTCCTTCACATGGTCATCAAAGTCTTGGGGATTTTGTGTGTTGGTAAGCTTCATCTTCATGTTTGTTAATAAGTTTAAAATCTTTTTATCATGTGTTCTATTTGTAACTGTTCTCACACTAAAGTTCTGATTAGATTAAAACAGAGTTATCCAGATCTTGCAATGTACTTTTGTTCTTTTTTCTAATAATTACATCATTTTTATATTTCACCAATACATTACATAAACTTTTATTTTTCTAAAATTTGAGGTGTTGCTTATCGAAACAACAAAGTTACTCAGAATAAGATAGCAGAGGAGGGAGGGATCCATGTGCTGGTCAACCTTCTAGCCAAGCCGCCAAATGATGAGATTCAGGTCGAGGTGGCCATAACACTTGGTTATGTCATCCTAAGCAATAAAGAAAACCAGGAGAAATTGGCAGAGGAACCCAATTTCAAGTTTGACACACTTTTAAACCTGCTGAGGGCTAAAGATGAGGTACATCTGATTTAATAGCCTGTTGTAATTGTTCCCACTTTTTAAAGAACAATTGTGAGACTTAGCTAACAACTGATTTCATGTCTTGTAATTGTTCCCACTTTTTAAAGAACAATTGTGAGACTTAGCTAACAACTGATTTCATGTCTTGTAATTGTTCCCACTTTTTAAAGAACAATTGTGAGACTTAGCTAACAACTGATTTCATGTCTTGTAATTTGTTCCCACTTTTAAAAGAAAAATTGTGAAACTTAACAAATAACTAATTTAATGTCTTGTAATTGTTCCCACTTTTTAAAGAAATATCGTGAGACTTAATAAATAACTGATTTAATGTCTTGTAATTGTTTCCATATTTCAGGAGATTCGTTTAAGAGCAGGTATGGCCTTGACAAATTTTGCCTTTAACAACACACCACAACAGTTCTCTATGCGTGAGGCTGGGGGGATCAAGTTCAAGGTCTTTGAAAAGTTTATTCAAACCAACGATGAATTTTATCAGTGTTATGCATCATTTCAGGTACTGCCAGTGTTTTTACCACATGTAACTTGTTGCTTCACTATACAGCTATTATATAAACTAGGATCAACTATATGCCTATATTAAAATTAGGCATTTAAAAAAATCATTAAAAAAAGAAGACCTTGTTAAAAAACCTTGTGTATTTTAACATTCCTGATAGGTGGTTGTTTTAGCTCGTGTGATAACAGACAAGGACCAGGTGAGCCTGACTGCCCAGGGTATCATGCTCTTGGTGTCCAAGTTAAAATCTCCAGAGGAAAAAGTTGTCGTCTTGTCCTGCAGCTTACTGGCAGCCTTGTCCCACACACGAGCTGGTCTCACTGATGCCATGATCACGTGTGGCGCTTTAGATTTGCTGGTGCAGCATTTAGATTCTCCTAATGACATAGTAAGTTGAATAGAGCTGGTCTCACTGACGCCATGATCACTTGTGGGGCTTTAGATTTGCTGGTGCAGCATTTAGATTCTCCTAATGACATAGTAAGTTGAATAGAGCTGGTCTCACTGATGCCATGATCACGTGTGGCGCTTTAGATTTGCTGGTGCAGCATTTAGATTCTCCTAATGACATAATAAGTTGATTAAATTGTTGACAAAATATCTTCACTAAGCACCATGGTCTTTGAATACACTTTTTTAACACTCCACCTGTTTCTGTGATGTTGTAGGTGAGAAACGGAGCAGCTGTTGCCTTGGGTTATCTGACCTTTAATCAAACTGCGTACCGGCTGCTCTTCTCCTTATGTCGCAATGTGCCAGGATTGTTTGACAAAATTATGAAGAACATTGGTGAAGAACCGAGGATAAGTGAAATGTTCATCAATGACTTTAAGAGAGCAACATTGATTGGTCTGCCAACACAATGGTAAGATGACAAAGTTTATCTTCAATATATACCTTTTATACCTTTTATACATAAATTGTCTGTTTATTAAAATAGGTTTTTTTAAAACTTTAAAATAATAATTTTTTATTTAAGAGTAAGATGACACTGTTTATTTTTATTGTACCTCCAATACTGTACTGACTTTCTTTAAAAAATGTATTACAGTAACTTCTTTATAAACAAAACATAATTTCTTTTTCAGTTTGGAAATTCACGGAGGACCTCCAGTGCCAACAAGAAAAAACAGTAAGTCGTGGCAGTGCCTAGAAAAAAAAGCAGATTAAGTATCTATGTTATGTGATGACATCTGGGATTATCACCTATCTACACTTGCATTTGTGATCAACTTTAAAATATCTTGTAGATTTTACTGACTGTTGCCTCCTAACATTTGTGTTTTAAAACTTGTTTAATGTTCACTATGTAGGTGATAGCCTAAAAATAATTTTTTTGAAGAAAAAGCTGTTTTATTCCTTAGCAATGCAAACGTAAATATTTTAATGCTGTATTTTTCCAGAACGGCCACAAACTGGTCAAGTGATGAAACAACCAAGTCCAGATAGTGAGAGTCGGGCTGTGTCGGCCCCAGCTAGGACCAGAAACAACAGCAACCTATTGCCCCAAATCTCTTCTCAGACAAGTGTTGTGAAGGTTGGAACAGCTAAACAATGAGCTATTTTTTTTACCGCGTCATTCATATATCACAAGGGAGTTCAGACTTTTGTGATAATGGGGATGGAGGGGTTTCAAGAAATGTGACTATTTTGTAGTTTTTAAGATGAAAATTATTAAATATGTTAGATTTAGGGTAGGAGTTTTTATTTGGAGTGTGGGTTAGACTAACTTTTATTTAGGAAGTTGTGTGTTTATGGCTTTATGTGACAATTGAAGATATCAGTAAAAATCAGGTCAAATAGCTCAATGTCGTTTATCATATTGAAGTTTTAAAAGTGAAAAACTTTAGATAAACATTTATCAAGTGTTGGTAAATTTTTTCTCCAGGCAAAGGTCAGAAGGTCGTCAAGGTCATCAAGTAGGTCTCCTAGACAGCCCAGAAGTGGCAGCAAGAACAAAAATGCCAGCAGTGAACATGATCTGCTAACAGAGACTGACAATGTTTCAGAAATTTGAGACTTTCTTTTTTACTGATTTTTGTTTAATCATCTCAAAGAATCATTCAAATGAAAAATTACTTTGGATGCTTCACAAACTGTGTTTACAATCTAATGCCATTGTTTAAAAGTATACTACACTCGCCTTAATACCAGTATTTATTTCAGACACCACAATATTTAAGTAAAAGACCATCCTGTAAGAATTATTAAAAGCTTTTCTATCATTTATTAAAATAAAATGTTTTGACTTTAAACTGTGATATTTTACATGACTTTTACAATTGCATGTTTTTTCTTGATTTATTATACTGCCACCAAATTTGGTGTCTTGCTTTTTAAAAAAATGCCATTCAATCTATTCCTCTACTACACGATGTTTATTTTGATTAGTATGTACATTTAAATGACTGTTTTATTTTAAATTATTTAATAGTTTTACAACTAAATATACTAATAGTGTATATAATAACAAATGATCAGTGCATAAATGAATTTGCAGCTTACATATATTTACTTATAGTAAGCTAAAAAGTTTTAGTATAACTATTATTATTGTAAGGTATCTATATGTAGCTGAAAATGTTTAAAGTATACAAGGTTTCAGAATCTTAGTACTCCAATTTGAATTTCATGCATTTTTTAAAAAACTATAGTACTTTAGAAACCATGAAAAATCTTTTTCATTAGTTTTAAATGTTAACTAATAAGATTTGGTTACATTATTCCTATTTAAAATATGGTGTCATGTTTAGTTGGTATCCATTTTAAATCCGTCCAGTCAATTGATTTCATGTCATTCCACAGTTTGAAAAAATTGAGATTGTTATTCAAATCTTTAACCAGGGTACAGTTCATTTATAAAATCCTTAAAAAAATTATTTACCTGACATCTGAGATTAATCTTAAACTGTTCATTTACTATGTCATAACAATTAGTTATTTTATTTTGTAAAAAATATTTATTTATTGATCCAGTTTCTAACTATTACCATCTGTCTCAAAGAAAAGCATCTTTTAGAAAGTCATAAAGGAGATTCAATGGCATTTGTAGATAATTTTTATAATGGAAATGATGTTAGTTTTTAAAATGTTATTTGTTTAGATTTACTCCTGTGATATTGTTTGAATATATTTATATCATTATCGAACTTTTCTGATTTTCATTTTTTTTTAAATATTTATTTACTGTGTCAGTATTTTATATTTATTTTTCTATGAGAGTGACATACAATGTTAACAAATTCTAAACCTATCTATTTTATTTCCAACTTGAAAATGGTGTATAGAATCTTTTTGACAATGTGTGAATTGCTCTATTTTAAAAATGCGCCTTTGAATTGCTTTACAACCTAAAAATAAAAATGTTAACTAAATCATTGCTGTTTTTTTTTTCTAATTGTAGAGTATTATTGTTAGTGTATGATTGAAAGAAAAACTCTTTTGACAAGCTAATCACTTTAAAGTAATGACTAGCCTACTGTCAGTCAGAAAAATATTTAAAATCATGAGCATAATTATTTAGGCCTACTCTAAAACTAAAACGAAGTTTCATCTGGTTTTTTAACAATCACAAACTGATAATATCTAGCTCTAGTGTTAATTCGGCTTTTGAAAAATATTTACATTGCATTGATTATAAGACTTTCAGAATAGGTATAGTATAAATACTTAATAAAATAATTTGAAGTTCTTATTTGATTTTTACCAGGGTAGATAACAACTATCGACAGACTGACATTTACCCCCACAGTAGATCTAATAGCTTCCCTTGATAGCATTTGCTTGTTTCAAAACCAAAATGGCTGAACCGAGCGTGGAAGAATTAAAGAAAGCAATAAAACGTATGAAGCCTTTTCTTTTACTTATAATCCTATGTAATTTTGAATAACTATCTTTTCCAAAGAATAAGAACAAAATGAACCTACGAATGCAAAGTTTTGTAGGATGGATCACGGTCAAATCTAGTCTAGATTCTAGATCTACAACATTGCTGCTTGCAGAGCACTGCTGGTGACTGAGTGCAGTGCTTGGTGTGTGTGTGTGTGTGTTCAAGTTGTTGATGTGTGTGTTTGAGAAGTGACTTGTGTGAAAATGTCGACTAGATCTAGATTCTAGATGTATTATCTCTGTGTGATAGATCTAGACTCTAGATCTAAATTCTAGATCTGGTAGATCTTGATTACAAAAGAATTTTTAATTTTAAAACATCAAAAAGATGGCTTTTACTTTTTTCATTGTTGTTTCCGTATTATTTCACAGTATTTTAATTTGACAGGAAACATCCAGTTCCCAAAAGGCAGACTTCTTTACTATTTTTAGTATTGCTCGCTAACCTGGTATCCACACCAGATGCGGACGCATGACTGATGACTTAGACTGTCTTAGACTTAAGACAATTTTTTCGTCTTAGTTCCAGTGACCTTCGCTGCATAGAGTTACTTTAAAAATGTTTTCCATATGCAAAATGGCGGATTTTTGTGTTATAAAAACAAACTTATAGAGGCTATGGCAGGAGGGGTATATCTAGATCTATTTGCCAGAAAACCATTTTAAAATTTGGTTTGGAGAATGAAGGCTAAATTAAAAAGTTGTTTTCATTAAAATCAATAGAACTTTTAAAATATCAACGGAGTAGGTACAAAAATGAGCTAATAGGTGAAGCATTATTAGATTTATCAGTCTATGAAACTGGCGCTCAAATCACAACCAAAATTTTTTAATTTTTTTAAAAACCACATGACCCCCATTTTGTTGATCACTAGTAAGAAACTCTGGTGCATAGTCAGTTAGAAAATCGAAACGATTCATGGCTTGCCATGGCTTCAAACATAGGAGTGATATAACAAGTCATAGATGTAATAGAAAGGTGTGTCGTGCCATGTCATTGTCTGTGAGTGACAAAAATATTAAATTAAATATTTAGTTTACAACTAGCTAAAAACCACTAAATTAGTGCCTAATGGATTAAATATGGATGCCTATTATTCAATTGAAAATTGATTAAATCTTAGATTCAGTGAGAATATCTACTACTAAGTTAGTTTACTGGTAGTGGTAGTGCTAGTTGACTAAACTACTCATATGGTTCGCTAATGACAATGCTAACCCAAACCATAGTCCTACCATATATGCCTAACTCTAATTTACAACAATAAACAGTCAACATTACAATACTACTAACTACATAAGACTTCTTTTTTTGGAAGAGTATTTTTGGACATCTATCCTCTAGTATCCTTTGTTGTCAACAATAGAGGAATTAAACAAGCTAAAAATTAATTATAATAGCACCAGACATTTACAAAACATTGAAAATGTATGTTAAACACATCTCAAATGCTGTGTAGTCTAAAAATCCTCAAAATGTACTATATCAACAACATAATTGCACAGAGGTGTCACAAAAGCATAAACTTATTTATAGGTATGTTAAACTTAACAGAATATGCTAGTTAATAGCTTTTTTCGATAATTATTCTTGAAAAAAACCCGACAGACATTCAGTTCCAGAATTCCCTTCATGTTCAAAATTTAGGCTTTTACTTTTAGAAACACTCTGGATCCAAAAAATGTAACAGTTAGGCCTATATATATAGAAAACATTAAGCCTATTAGTAAAATATGTCTATAAACCAGTTTTTACTATAGATGTAGCATTATATGGCTTATTGTAACTTTAAAGTATTTTGTAACATTTATTGAATAACATTATTTAAATAGACTAGGTAAACCAGGTGTTAAGTTAAAGAACATTAAGCCTAATAAAACCTTATTAGAATTGGTAATGAACAGAATGTATAACTAGAACTCATGGTCCACAAATAAATTTAAATGATAGACGCAGTCTGAAATTTTAGGACGTCCTGCTCTTTTAAAAAAAATTCCTGGAATTTAAAATTTTCTCCTGAAATTTTGTAGACTGTTTAGAAATTTTACTAACATCGAAATTTAATGCCCCTTTTTTGTGCATTATATCATTCACATATTTTAGCAACTAAAGCTTTTATGAAAGAAAGCAGATTAGTTTTATTTTTTTATTTTCCATGCATAAGGGTTTTTTATATTTGTTTTTTTAACTTTCATATGAAAAGAGCAGCATGCAATAATGATACTTTGGCGTCATTGAAATGAAAATGCAGATTTCCATCAACTTTTATAGGGAATAAAAATTGTAGGTTCTTATTTCAAAGCATATATTTTAATATCAGTTTAGTGAAATTGATCTAATTAACATAATTTTAAGCTGTTTGGGATTTTATGTAGAATCCAGTGGTGCTATGTTTAAAGTACCTCATGATTACATAATCAGCTAATCTCATAGGTGATGTTATCCCTTTCCCCTAAATTTTTAGAGCATTTGATAACTGATAATTCATGTGATAAATTTATTTTTTCTATAATTTTCAACACCTTTTAGCTATATGATAAAATATTCTGCAGCTAAGGATTGTATTTAAAATAGTCCTTCATTGTTACATAACTATCTTATCTCAGGTTATGTAATCCTGTAATCCCACCCTTTGCTAAAAATTACCATATAATTTTAAAAATCACATATGCTCTTCTTTAGTTAGCTTCAAATAAATACTAATAAGGCTAAACAAAACTTTTATTGTTTTTTTTTTAAGAGACAACAATTTAACAATTTATTAAAAATGTTTAATCAATGTGTAATCTTCTATTATAATTCTATTCTAAGCCTATAGGCCAATTTCTTTCTACTGTTTCTTTTTTGATAATAAATATGCTTTGAATTATTATACAGAAGCAAAATGATTCACTCAATAATATTTTATGTTGGTAAAGTAATTATAGTATCAGATTTTAATCATTGATTTCACCCAGATGTACTGGAGAATACTGTTCTACTAATTTGACATATTATTAATCAAGTTAATTAAAAAGTAGTTGTTGTCTAATTATATGTATTCAGTCTCTGGAACACTTGGATTACCAATAAATAGAAATGGGGTTAGCAGGGGAGGATGCACTCCCCAAGATATTGTACACAGTGGAATTCTGAATTAAAAAAATTAGTTTGATGGGAAATGGCCAGCATTAACTCACTAATGACTAGTGCTCAGCATGGAGGGGAGGCTTGTTGAGCAAAATTTATTCAAAATGCCCTTGAAGGCTTGGAAAAGAAAAAAGCAGCCATTGTAAATTCATTTAATTTGCAGCAACTTCATTTTTTTTGGGTGTCTTTTCATTGGAATTCTACTCACATTAGAGTAGATGTAAAAAGACACAGTGCAAACTAATTATTTAAAAAATGGTAAAAGATCAAAAGTATAATTTTTACATTACCTGGCACCATTAATTTTTATGTATCATATAAAGTTACAAAGTGTAAAATAAACTTTTTGGTTTAGTAAATCACTGCAAGTTTAGAAAGTTAAATAAATAATAAAAAAAATTTACCATTTTTATATACTTAATAAAGTTACAAAATGTTAAATAAAGCCTTGGGATTTAATGCATTTCTAGAAAGTAATGAACTATGTTTTTTTTTTAATGTCAATGTTTGTTTTTTAAGTGATAGCTTGTTACTGTTGAATAGCATTGTGGCAAGTTGAATGTTAGTATAAAATCATCTTTTGGTAGGGCATTGTAGATATGAGTTAATCTGTTCTTCTATTTTAGGCATCCTTAGCGGAGCAGACTTGGATAGTCTGTCTGCTAAAAAGGTCAGAAAATCTTTAGAGGAAGAGTTTGAAACAGATTTCTCAAGCAGGTATTAAACTTTTTTCACATAAATATTTTATGTAATATTTGATTTTTACCACAAACCTAGTTACATATCTGCATAAATAGTAAAAATAAAAAAATTATTTATACTTTCTCAGAAAAAAAGAGATAGATAAATTAGTAATGAAAATGATAGAAGAAGATGATAATGAAGAAGATGAAAAGGATGAACCAAAGAAAAAAAATTCAGATGATGAAGATGATGATGAAAATGGGGTTGAAAGTGATGCCAACTCAGAAGATGAAGTAAGTTTTATTGTGATTTTAAAACTGTTTGAATAAGTAGATCAAATTAAATGTAACTGTTGTTTTTAATATTTGCATACATTATTGCTTGATTAATATTTGAAAAAGTAAAAAAATGTACAAAAAATTCTAAATATATCATATATTATGTAAATCTATTGTTTTTGCTCTTACACTAGTTACAGTAGTTATGTTACATTTTTTAAAGTTGGAATTTTTTGTTTTTCTGAATGAATCTTACCAAAACAGTAATATGGTAAAATTATATTTTTCTCTAATATCATCATGTAGGTTCCAAAAAAGAAAGCCAAGAAGTCAGCACCCACCACATCCAGTGCCAAACAAAAGGTATGGTCATAAAACACTTCTGTAACTGAGCTGCTTTAGATACATCTTTTAAAAGTATTTAACCATTAATGTCCCATTCATTCTACCAAAACTCCACCCATGACGGCCCAATGTAAGGAGCATAACTCTGTATGATCAAGTGAATAGTTTCACAAAATATTTGTTTTTGTCTAAATGAAATTGAAAATTAAGATAAAAAGTACTGCTTAGTGTTGGGAATAAACCTGGCTTTCCAACAGTATTAAATAGAATATATTATATTCGGTAAAAGTACAGTATAAAAATAAAAAATGTCGGAGAAAATTCAAAACAGGTCATTTTTGGTAGCCAACTTTATTTATTTTTGTCTAAACAACTATGCATCGAATTTAACAGTTAAATATCAATTTGGTTACGTTTAAGATATATAATTCATAAAATACATGCCTAGATACGTTTAGAGGCATTATTTTGTTTTATTTTTAATATTAAATCTACTAAAAATAGGACAGATGAATCTAAAATTTCGAGATGGAAAGAAACTATTATTTTTTATCTTTCAAAAGCGCCATTGAAATTACAAGACCGGAAAAGGATGCTGCAAGTATCCGACTTCCTGTTTAGTTAAAAATTAGGATTTGTAGGCCAAATTTTAATGAAACAAATTTAATTTTTCTATGCGTAATGTAAGCGGGCGGCAGCGGGCGTTACGGGACATTAACGGTGTCGGGCGGCAGCGGGCGTTACGGGACATTAATGGTTAAACAGTGAATTGTTTTGTTTACACAATGTCTGGTGAAAAAAAACAGAATTTGTGTCATTCCTACTTACCTAAACTGTTAATACATTTTATCTTGTGATTTATAATTTTTCAACAGAAAAGGAAATCAGCAACAAAGGCAGATGACAGTGAGGACCCAGTTATGTCAAGTATTAAACAGGTAGCTTTAAACTGCATTTATTGTCTTTAAAAATACAAAGATGATGATATGGGAATCAAAAGAAAATAACTATAAGAATAGTGTATTTGAAGTGAGTTATTTTTGCATTATTAATATAGTTAAAATACCAGTGAGATTTAAACAATTTTATTTGTATTGTTTGTTTATTTATAGAAATATGTATTTATTTGCATATACATTTTTTCTCAGTTTCTATTGATTTTGCTGAAATTGTAAATTTTGAAACAGCAGTAATTTTTAAAAATTCCACTGCTAATTTAAAAATTAGGTTGGTTAACTAATCAAGGAATGTGCCAAAACATTATTGTCTTAAAATGAAAAATAGCAAGTTTATCTGGGAATAGATAAGGCCAATTTTACCAGGTAAACTTGTTTCAAGTGATAAGCTTTCATTGCAGATAGGCTGGAAGTAACGCAATCTTTCTATTTAATAAAAGCCATTGCCAAATAGGCTGAAGTAATGCACTCAAAAAACTAAAAAATGCCTTACTGATAATTTAATTAAACATATTGTGTACTCAAATATGTTTCTCAGGTTTAGAGTACTTGTCTGCATCAATCAGAACTGTGCAGGTTTCAATTGTTAAATATAGTGGGTTGTTGGCATAGTAGCAACATTTCCTTGATTTAACATAAGTAAAATTATAGTGGGAGCAACTTTTCTTTACTTAACATTTTTTTACTTCTGTTATTGTTTTACAATCACAATACTGTAAGTTTATCTGTCAGAAACAAAAATTATGTATTTAAAAATAGATGGACGATGAAGATCTTGCCAAAAAACTTCAAGAAGAAGAAACAGGCCTGAGAAGAAGGAGAGCTGCAGCTGTAAGTCTTTAGTGACAGTTCACATGATCTCTTGTCATGACAGGATTTCTTATAATAATACACTATACACTAGTCCAAGTTTCTGCTTGTTGGTTTAGCTAGATCTCATTGCTGTTCAAATAAGCTAGATTTGTGCTAACCCAATACAATTATGGTATGCAGTCTGTATTACGTGCTTAACCCTTTACAGGGCATCAAAACTATTTTACTTCCCAATGGCCAGGCAAAAGATGACACATTTTTAACCACTACCTTTTTAAACAAAAATTATTTAAAATTAACCACCTAAATAATTAAATTAAATAAAGAGCATTATACACATAATTGGTCTGATTTTTATTATGTATGAGGTGAAATATCATAATAGTTTACTAATATTTACATAGATTACAGAAAAACGTAAACAAAACGCTACTTCTAAATGTTATTTCTATAAGAAATATGATTTAAATACTTTAAAAAAAAACTCAACATAGTCACTGGAGCTACTGGAGTCACTGTGTCAGTTACCTAATAAATAAAGCCCAATTTAATGGCAGAGGCATTTTAATTAGTTCACTAATTATATTGTCCAAAGTTTCGGGGAAAAAAATCTTTATTTTAGAAAAAATCATAGAAAATGAACCACTTTTGATAGTACAACAAGAAAACAACTTAAAAAATAATTATTTCCAGCTTCCGTAAATGCCTTCAAAATCTCGTTACCAACAAGACTTCATTTACTATGCTTAAATAAACATACTATCCATAGTTCGGGCAACCGCAGGCGCACCAGACTGTACTACACATACAAACTCTCGGTATCAGGTGGCGCATAGGACTGTAAAGGGTTAAATTTCTTTTCTAGAGCTTTAAACAAACATTGCAACCAGTTTGAACCAGTTTCTTATTCTCTTATATCTCTGCAGCCAAAACCAAGAAAAGAGAGGGAAAAAGACCCAGACAAGAAGAAGAAACGTATGTACCAACTATTGCATTCCTAAAATGTTTGTCTTGCTATACTAACATCTCTTTACCTGTAGTAGCCTTCATTTTATTTTAATTTCTTTCTTTAACAAAACTTAAAATTTTTGTTTTATAAGTTGATACATCTAATTACTGGTAAGGAGATCTATAAATCATGTTAGTTTTATTTTATCTCTGATATTATTTATTAAGCATTTTATTGTATCAATACAGTTTCATCTAAAATTGTAAAGCCTTAAAAATGTATATCGTCTTTTTATAGAGCCATAATTAATTTAAAAAATATTTACCATTCAAAACTGCAGCCTTGAGCAATAAAGATTTCAAAAGTTTTAATAGTAAATTATGTTAGGCAGACTACTTTTGAATTAAATTATATTTCAATAAATAAAACAAAGCATATTTAGTTGGCTGCAGTCTTAGTGAATTAGGTCTGAATCTGTATGTACTTGCTGCTTATGATGGTCTAGACAAGCTTTACGTGATCAAATGGTGTTTCTAGTCACTCATGGGAGCTTTTGGAAACTATATATATTTTTTATTGTAAAAAGCTTTAGAATTAAGTGCATGTTTATAATTTTTCTTGCTTATTTTTGTATGGTGAATGATGACCAACAAAAAATGTATGTTCTTTGTATAGATTATTCCTTATTTTCAGAATACTTGAATTTAGTAATTGCAGTTATGGAATTCAAATTTCACTGTAGAAGTTATCTTTAGCCTAAGTGTCACAGATGTCATTTATAAGAGTAGTACTTTTTGTACAACTTTCTAACAAATACATTTATGCTTTATAGCACATTCCCAGTTTATATTTATCCAAAGTTTTCATGTTAACATTTGTCTAGTCATTAATACAAATAATACAAAAAGTTGAAAAAGCATAATGTTAATGAAGATGACTTGAGATTTAACAAAAAAAAAACGCCTTTAAGTAATAAGCCACTGTTGCAATAATGGTTGAGCAAAATTAATTTTTATTCCACCTCAAAATATTTATCAAGTTTACTTAATTGAGCAATTCGATTATTATACTTATTGTTAGACCGCCCTCAACCACTTGAGTATGTTGCTTTAAATCTTGCACCAATCTTTGTAGTATATACCAACCTTTGTGATGTTGATCATAATTTAATTGTTTGAGGCTAGCCATAATGTGATAGCTTGTTTCACATTTATGTTTTTTGTTTCTCTAATCAGCATCGCTCTACAGTCGCCCATGCCATTTGTCTGATCAGTTAGCTGCTGTTGTGGGAAAAAATGAGGTTTGTTAGAGTGTTTCTGATTTCATGCTTGACACACCAGACACTCAACCCAATGTCTTTCTCCTTGAAGATGTTAAAAGCTTTTTATATATACCAGATTGAATGAAGTGGACATCTGTGTTACAGCATTTGTTTGATTCTTCTTGAAGAAGTTTTGTCTACTGTTTGCTTACCACATGTGATAACAGTTGACTTTAATTATAAATTAAGATCACTCACCATTGATAATATTCAAACTAACAGTAACAATAGGAATACAAACACCCACCAAATAATTTATAATTGTGTCAGCATTTCCATTAAAATGCTTGTACTGTTTTGCTTGTTTTCAGTGTATGTACCTTCTCATTGAGTGTCAGTTTTAATGGACAGAGAATGTTTAATATGTAATTTCAAAATTAGTAAACATTTGACAAGCAAGACTTACTTGATCATAAATAAATTTTGTATCCTTCAATTCACGTATAGAAATGATGTAACTGTAAAACAGCAATGTGCATATGTTATATAATCAGCTACATTAAAATCCATCTGATGTTCTTTTTAACATTAGTGAATGAAAACATGGTTTTGATCAAGTTCTGTCACAATGTATTGGTCATCATTCACTGTTTGATTTGTTGTCATTGAGCTTTTGTCAAATCTGGTCACCTTTGAGCTAATGCTGTCTTTTCATTTGTCATTCACACTGCTGCAGCTAAATCATTAACCTTTTAAACACCCAGGGACAAAATTAAAAGCAATTTATAAAACTTGTTGTAATTTCATTGTTCTGTTGAATTCAAAGCCCTTTTCTCTCGTTTAAAATATGTAACATGACATAGATATATTTCTGTTTTAATCTTAGATGCCAAGGCCGGACGTTGTGAAGACTTTGTGGTCTATAGTGAAGGAGAGGAATCTTCAGGTATGCATAAGTTGTCAGTATTATATGCGCTTGTGAAAAAATTAAGATGGGCTTCAGCAATTATATCTATAAACAAGACGTAAACTTGTATTTTTTCCCTTTCAGGATCCTAGTAACAAGCAATTTATGTTGTGTGACGAACAGATGGAAAATCTGTTTGGTAAGTACATTATTAAATTGTGCTAATCTGTCAAAATTAAAATAATTCATCATCACCAGACTGGTAGCTATGCTGTTTATGGTAGCTTGTTGTAATATTTCTCTGTTGGATGAATGAATTTGTTGGCAGAAAACCTAACACACATTCCTTCTATTTCAGGGTCAAAGAGAATAAAGCTGTTTGCAATGATGAAGTATTTAAAGAAACATATAACTGATATTCCTCGTTAAAGTTTTGTCAACTTGATGTTTTTAAATGTTTGATTAGAAACACCATGTATACATTGCACAGATTAACTAGCAGTTGTAAAAAAACATAGAGATTGTTTATAAGAATATACATTTTTGCTATCAAAACATTGTTGAGTAAATGGTTTTTGTTCAGTGAAAGCATTTATTAAACTGTTTTTATTAATAGACCCAATATCTGTGAGGATTTAATATTTCCTGAGGAAAAGCCAGAATAATTTGTAGATTGGATAAGAAAAGATGGGACTGTTGTCATGAATGGGTTATTGTAGCCTAAATTTCATGCCAATGGTGTAATTGTATATATTTTATGTAAGTACTAAATGCTTAGATATTTGTTTAGCCATTGTTTTTTATTTGACACATTTGTAAAAAAAATCATCAAAATCATTTAATAGTTTATGGGTCATAATTTTTGGTAAAGTTGAAAATTTCTTCTCATTAGAGTACAGTAAAAAAACACCACTGAATCTGTTGGTACTGTAATATTTTTTTAGTTAAATGCCAGAGATCTGAAGTATCAGAGCCAGATAATTGCAGGCAGGCCATTGAAGCATGTTGCAAGTGCCTCTCATTGCAGCAGATTGTTGCATTATCATTCTAAGCTTGCCATCTGCAGTTATTATATCTGAAATATAATACATACCTTGGTAAATGTTGTCCCAATTCAATTGTTTTATTTGTAAAAAAATATCTTTGTACTAAGGAATGACAGTTAGATTTGCACTTTATATTTACTATAGTAGTATGTTGAATATTTATTTTAAAAACACTGTAGTGCTTGCACAAGTTATGTCCCTTGTAATATTATAATTAAAAATGTTAACAGAAAAAGGGAAGAAAAATTTGTAAGTGATTTCCTTACTAAATTTTATTTTGAACTAAGACTTATGTATTGTATGTAAATGGCTTCAAAGATTTATTACATATCTGTTTTTTGTAATGTTATTTGTTTTGTGTAGCTTGTGTTCAAATTTAAAGTGAAATCATTTAGATTTATGTTTGATGGGCCCTGTCGGTCAGACTGGTCTTGTTGGATGGGCCCTGTTGGTCAGACTGGTCTTGTTGGATGGGCCCTGTTGGTCAGACTGGTCTTGTTGGATGGGCCCTGTTGGTCAGACTGGTGATGTTGGATGGGCCCTGTCAGACTGGTGATGTTGGATGGGCCCTGTTGGTCAGACTGGTGATGTTGGATGGGCCCTGTTGGTCAGACTGGTGATGTTGGATGGGCCCTGTTTATCAGACTGGTCTTGTTGGATGGGCCCTGTTGGTCAGACTGGTGATGTTGGATGGGCCCTGTTTATCAGACTGGTCTTGTTGGATGGGCCCTGTTGGTCAGACTGGTGATTTTGGATGGGCCCTGTTGGTCAGACTGGTGATGTTGGATGGGCCCTGTCAGACTGGTGATGTTGGATGGGCCCTGTCGGACAGACTGGTGATGTTGGATGGGCCCTGTTGGTCAGACTGGTGATGTTGGATGGGCCCTGTCAGACAGACTTGTTGTTGCTCTGTTTTTCTTGGTAACTAAACATTTATTTGGCAACACATATTTTATTGGTACTTTCATATTGTAACGTATTTAATATATTCAACTGCAAAATTCTTTTTGACCACAACATGAAGAAGTTGGTTGTCATTGTTTTCATTTGCTATTACACAAAAAATTAAAATAAATTGCTTTTGGTAATTTTTTTAAATGTTTGTCAATTAAAATATTTTCTGTAAAAATTTCTTTGTTCTCTTGTCAAATTTTTTTTGGTGCTGATTTTGCTTCCTACATAAAATTGTCAGCACATATCTGTTTTACCACTTTGACTTCATTTTTAACCTTCCAGCTAGGTGTTCTTATATCATCAACCTATCTTCAAGTGGTTTGTACTTTCTAAACCCTTCTCCAAGTGAATGTTTGTATTTTCAAAACCCTTCAAGTGAATGTTTGTATTTTCATAACCCTTCAAGTGAATGTTTGAACTTTGTAAATCCTCCCAGTGACTGTTTGTACTTTCTAAACCCTCCCAGTGAATGTAAGTACTTTCTAAACACTTACCCAAGTGGATGTCCCCAACCCATCTTATGTAATATCTGAATGCTATTTTAAAAGTTTGTAGTGATTCACTGACTGTATTTTGGCTTAAAGAAACACATTTAAGTGGTAACTTGAGATGGCATGAATTAATTTAAATGCTAGGATGTGTGGCCAGTTGCATTTGGTGATATTAAAAGTGAGAAGTATATGTCTACAACAATACTGGGGAAAATGATGTGTTCATGGATTTATCAATGTTCTTTGAAAAAATATGAAGATGGTATTTTGTTTTTACATTTGAACTTTAAAAAACCCACTAGATTATACTCAATGTATCGTGCAGATGTAATTGCGTTTCGTTTAAAGCAGTAGGCTGCAGTTAGGTTTAATTTTGATGCTACGTGCTGCAACAACGCTGCTCTCCCCTGTTTTTTTTTTTTTTTTACTGTATACGCTCTAAATAACAACGCACATGATTGGCCAGGAACTAGGTTACGAGAATAGATTGTGACCTTTACTACAAAAGGTCAATCAGCTGGATAGGTAAACAAGTGGTTTAAAGGAAAAAACCGCGCCCTGAATAGTCTATAATATAAATTCCATATAGATCTAGATCTAATAATTGTTAATAGAAGCACAACTTATAAAATGGAATCAAAGATTACATTTGTAAGCCAACACCAACAACCTTTTGGCAGTATTTGTTCTAAGGGAAACAATCTAGTCAAAACGCGAAAATATATTGCCCCACTGCATTTTGTCGTGTAGTTGCATTATGGTCAGTAGGGCTACATTACAGTAGTTTATTTTCTATCGAGCTTTTTGGTTAGCGTTTAATACATAAGTTGCTATCAGGTCTAATGAAAAAGATCTCCACATAATTAATGAATACTAAACTTTTCTGTTGTTGTGGTAAAGAGATGATGAAATATTTTCCTCATAAAAATTCAAAAGATGATGAAATATATAAGCCTGTATAGATCTGTTATTTTTCCCCCACTGCTGCACTTTAAAGACGCAAACGCTCGCGAATGACGTTCAACATGACCTACTTTAACGACTGTTTTGATTAAGTGGTTACGCACGTTAGCTTTAGACCGCCTTTTCTTCCACACACGACTAGAAAAGAAAGTCGAAGCAGTTTTTACAGGAACATTTTGGGTTCTAAAAGATTTTAGATCAAGCTGAAGTATGGGAACTAGAGAATATAGAACATGGAGCAGGGGATGGGGGGGGGGGGGGGGGGAAGCGAATTTAGGATATAAGTAGCTGTTGTTAGTGTATTTAGGGTATGTGGTCAGTGTGATTAGGATATGTGGTGGTGTGGTCAGTATGTGAGGCTGCGAATTATTTGTTCAGCGTATGAGGTATTCTAAGTGAGTACATTGATGACATTTTGTGGCAAATATGAGTTGTAAACGAGACACAGAGCCTTGACTAGCGCGTGTCAACCCACTCCAGGGTTTTATTGAAGGGGCAAGCATGCGGCGTGACAGACGACACGTAGCTGCATGACTCATTCACTCAGCCTTTAATAGTACACAGCCTTTGTCCGTGGTCACATCAGTAGTTGACTGGACTCACCACCAGTGACCACTTTCCTTCACTGGAGAGTTCTGTCAATGTAAACTGAGGACGACTTATGGAGTTGGCATGCTTTACGTTTAACTCTCACAACAATGTAGGAGCTAGACCTTTTATGAAACGATTTAGTTGCTAGTTCGGCTATGTTTAGCGCTAATAAAAGCCAGCACGTTCAGAAAACCAAAACAACAGCCAATAAGCCTGGCAGTTACTTACAGTTAGTGTGTTAGTGATTGTGTGTTCAGAATGCGGCTGTGTTTAGATGGTCACTTGAATCAGGGGCGTATGAAGGGTTTTAGATATTAGGGGAGCGGCAAGTACAAAAACAAAAAGGGCGTCATGCATTTATATATATATATATATATATATATATATATATATATATGCATAACTATAACCGCCTTTGGCTACAAACAATGTAATAATTTATTACATTCTTTTTGAAGAACAAAACAGAATATAAAACAAAATACAAAACACAAAACAATACTACAAAATAAACACATCAAAACGGGATTTGTAACCTTGTAAAAGAAAATTTAACATTAATTAAAAGTTAATTAGGCCTATTTAAAAATATTTTTAAAGGGAGCGGGGAAAAAAAGCCAGGGGAGGTAACGACTCTGTTTAATACAATTCTGTATACATATTTAAATATGTCTTTCAAATTTTATTACATAAATTAGATATTACGATTTAAAATGTCAAATAAATGTTTATAATTAGCTGTTTGCTATGTATTATTTAATATATATATTAAAATAAAATAAATTTTTATGATAGAGCTTATGTGTTTAACCATGAAGAATGTTTATGAAAACCAAATTTATTAAGATAAACAACTTTCTGCAATTTTATTTTAATGCAAAAAGGGTGCTGAGCTCGATTTTACTACTAGATTTAGAATAAAAAAAAAAAAAAAAAAAAAAAAAAAAAAGATTTAGAATAGTGTTTCTTCCAGACCTTTTTCTTCGGGTTTGCACTTGAAATTTTCGGGGCACTGAAGTTCTCACCAGTTGCGTGACACCTGGTCTTATAATCCAAGATGTCTCCCACTCCCTTCAACAACTACTATTTATAATGATGTATTTAAACTTTTAGCAATGTGTCACACCAACCCTGTACCCAATGGGGGGGGGGTATATAGCTTTAATAAACCATTAAGTTAACTTAATCTCTTAATATTACCTTCATTTTACATTGGTGTCACCCCGGCATCCGCAGTGTTTCTTCCAGACATATCTTCGGGGGGAAGGGGGATGACTTCGCCCCCCCCCCCCTCGGAAATATTAGTCCGCCCCCCCCCCCCCCCGGAGAAAAAAGTCTGGAGGAAACAATGGGCATCCGGTCAATACCCCGTACCCACTACTGGGTTTTATGTGTTAATCTGGTGTCCTATACTGCTGGTAGGTAGCCAAGCAACATATTCAAGTATAGATGCATTTCATCTTTAGACCACACTCACACCCTTTAATAGCTTTAAATAACAATTAATAACATTGCTCCCCCCTCTCTTAAAATAACAATAATTCTAAAATAATAATTATATTTAAAAAGAGAAAATATTTGATCCTTCCACATATCGTTACTGGGCTAACTATGTAGTAAAATGCAAATTTCAAATTTAATCTTTGACGACTGCTAGAACTGTGCACATGCCGTATGCATGTGGGTAATGGTAAAAACACAATCCACAAACATATCCACAGCCTAAAAAAATTATAACCTTGGCTGCCGTTGTTAGCGTGATAGCAGCATTTTTGTACGCCAACTGAACTGAAACTGCGGTGAAAGTGAAAGAAGTTAGAAAACAAAATCATCATGACCTTTGAACTTTGTATTCTTTGATACCCGAAGTAAAAATATAATTTTTAATCGATCACCGGTACCAGCTTTATTTATGTAAGTTCAAAGCTTAAGTAAATTTAGTTTTTAACTTAAGCTTTGAGCTAACATAAACAGTTACTTTACGTTAGATCTGATAAAGTTAATCGATTGAAAATTCTTTAAAATGCATAGCACGACAGAAGCCGATTTTGGACTTGCATATGGCTACGACTTTAAACCATCGTATCGCGAAGCATTTTTAGGGGATTAATCTGGCATAACTTGACACTTGGCCATAGTACTGGTCTAGATATCCCATAATTACTCCAGAAGACCCCCAGTTACTCGAGCACACCTGGTCCAGATGACCCATAATTACTCCAGATGACCAATAGTTACTCCAGATGACCCATAGTTACTCCAGTACACCTGGTCCAGATGACCCATAGTTACTCTAGTACACCTGGTCCAGATGACCCATAGTTACTCCGGTACACCTGGTCCAGATGACCCATAGTTACTCCAGATGACCAATAGTTACTCCAGATGACCCATAGTTACTCCAGTACACCTGGTCCAGATGACCCATAGTTACTCCGGTACACCTGGTCCAGATGACCCATAGTTACTCCAGATGACCCATAGTTACTCTAGTACAACTGGTCCAGATGACCCATAGTTACTCCAGTACACCTGGTCCAATGACCCTCAGTTACCACAGTACACCTGGTCCAGATGGCCCAGTTACTCCAGATGACCCATAGTTACTTCAGTACAACTGGTCCAGATGACCCATAGTTACTCCAGATGACCCATAGTTACTTCAGTACAACTGGTCCAGATGACCCATAGTTACTCCAGCTGACCTATAGTTACTTCAGTACACCTGGTCCAGATGACTCATAGTTACTCCAGTACACCTAGTACAAATGACCCATAGTAACTCCAGATGACCCATAGTTACTCCAGATGACCCATAGTTACTCCAGTACACCTGGTCCAGATGACCCATAGTTACTCCAGATGACCCATAGTTACTCTAGTACAACTGGTCCAGATGACCCATAGTTACTCCAGATGACCCATAGTTACTCCAGTACACCTGGTCCAATGACCCTCAGTTACCACAGTATACCTGGTCCAGATGACCCAGTTACTCCAGTACACCTGGTCCAGATGACCCATAGTTACTCCAGATGACCCATAGCTACTCCAGTACAACTGGTCCAGATGACCCATAGTTACTCCAGATGACCCATAGTTACTTCAGTACAACTGGTACAGATGACCCATAGTTACTCCAGATGACCCATAGTTACTTCAGTACACCTGGTCCTGATGACCCATAGTTACTCCAGTACACCTAGTCCAAATGACCCATAGTTACTCCAGATGACCCATAGTTACTCTAGTACACCTGGTCTAGATGACCCATAGTTACTCCAGATGACCCATAGTTACTCTAGTACACCTGGTCCAGATGACCCATAGTTACTCCAGTACACCTGGTCCAGATGACCCATAGTTACTCCAGTACACCTGGTCCAGATGACCCATAGTTACTCCAGTACACCTGGTCCAGATGACCCATAGTTACTCCAGTACACCTGGTCCAGATGACCCATAGTTACTCCAGTACACCTGGTCCAGATGACCCATAGTTACTCCAGTACACCTGGTCCAGATGACTCATAGTTACTCCAGTACACCTAGTACAAATGACCCATAGTAACTCCAGATGACCCATAGTTACTCCAGATGACCCATAGTTACTCAGTACACCTGGTCCAGATGACCCATAGTTACTCCAGATGACCCATAGTTACTCTAGTACAACTGGTCCAGATGACCCATAGTTACTCCAGATGACCCATAGTTACTCCAGTACACCTGGTCCAATGACCCTCAGTTACCACAGTATACCTGGTCCAGATGACCCAGTTACTCCAGTACACCTGGTCCAGATGACCCATAATTACTCCAGATGACCCATAGCTACTCCAGTACAACTGGTCCAGATGACCCATAGTTACTCCAGATGACCCATAGTTACTTCAGTACAACTGGTACAGATGACCCAAAGTTACTCCAGATGACCCATAGTTACTTCAGTACACCTGGTCCTGATGACCCATAGTTACTCCAGTACACCTAGTCCAAATGACCCATAGTTACTCCAGATGACCCATAGTTACTCTAGTACACCTGGTCTAGATGACCCATAGTTACTCCAGATGACCCATAGTTACTCTAGTACACCTGGTCCAGATGACCCATAGTTACTCCAGTACACCTGGTCCAGATGACCCATAGTTACTCCAGTACACCTGGTCCAGATGACCCATAGTTACTCCAGTACACCTGGTCCAGATGACCCATAGTTACTCCAGTACACCTGGTCCAGATGACCCATAGTTACTTTAGTACATCTGGTCCAATGACACATAGTTACTCCAGTACACCTGGTCCAGATGACCCATAGTTACTCCAGTACACCTGGTCCAGATGACCCATAGTTACTCCAGTACACCTGGTCCAGATGACCCATAGTTACTCCAGTACACCTGGTCCAGATGACCCATAGTTACTTTAGTACATCTGGTCCAATGACACATAGTTACTCCAGATGACCCATAGTTACTCCAGTACACCTGGTCCAGATGACCCATAGTTACTCCAGTACACCTGGTCCAGATGACCCATAGTTACTCCAGTACACCTGGTCCAGATGACCCATAGTTACTCCAGTACACCTGGTCCAGATGACCCATAGTTACTCCAGTACACCTGGTCCAGATGACCCATAGTTACTTTAGTACATCTGGTCCAATGACACATAGTTACTCCAGATGACCCATAGTTACTCCAGTACACCTGGTCCAGATGACCCATAGTTACTCCAGATGACCCATAGTTACTCCAGTACACCTGATCCAATGACCCATAGTTCCACCAGTACATCTGGTCCAATGACACATAGTTACTCCAGATGATCCATAATTACTCCAGTACACCTGGTCCATATGACTTAGTTACTCCAGTCCAGTATACCTGGTCCAGATGGCCCAGTTACTCCAGTACACCTGGTCTAGATGAGTTACTCTAATACACCTGGTCTGATTTACTCTTATACACCTGGTCCAAATGAGTTAGTTACTCCAGTCCAGTATACCTGGTGCAGATGGCCCATACAGTTACTCCAGTACACCTGGTCTAGATGAGTTACTCTAATACACCTGGCCAATTTGACCTTTATTTTGCTCCAAACTGCTGTAGCAAAAAATGACTTGTAATTACTCCAATAAAGGTTGTTGGTTGTTGCACCGTTTCCTACAATATGACACAAAACCAGCAAAAAAAAAAAAAAACAATACAAAAAGAATAGCTGAGTCCCAAAATCATTTATTTGACAAATGTTCAGGACTGATAAAATGTATTATAGATATTTACACAATTGTAATAATTAAAATCTATTTCTTCACGTACATTACATAGCAAGAATCAAAAGACATTCACAGAGTCAGGCAGGCACAGATCCACTACACAGACAGACACACTGCCAAGTTAATGAGAATAAAAACACCACCCTAACCAGCTGACCAGAATCTGCACTGATGGGGTGGCTATGTGTAACAAACATGATATGAGAATAAATAAAAATAAATGATAAAAATATTTAGTGCATGACGAGTGAACGAACCACATTTAAAAGCAAAATTCAAATCTCCAGTGCATAAAAGACATGAATATCAATGTCTAAACTGCAACATAAGCCCACATTTCATTTAATGCTACAATTTAGCCATTTTAATCAATGAAAAAAAAATTAGCATATTCAGTATTTATGAAAATAACAAAATGTTTAATGGTAAGACTGCAACAGATTGCTCACACACAAAACAACTTGTTAACCGCAGATGGTGGACTTGTTTTTACAAACCCCTAGAAGGAAATCTGACAAAAATACACCCGTACAATTCTTTAATCAACAATTCTAACTTTTAATTCAAACGGGTTAGATGGAAGGCATGTTTAAAGCTAGCTAAAAACTTAAACTTGGAGCATCCAGGACTTTGTTTTTACACTGTTACATTTTGATCATTGGGGAAAAAATTTGTTTTAAAGGAAAAAAAAATATGTACAGAGATGAGATCAATAGGAACCAAATTTGGACTGGCTTTTACTTCACCTATGCCATTCTAAGCCTTAACCAAAAGAATCTGACACTTTTACTTCACCTATGCCATCCTAAGCCTTAACCAAAAGAATCTGACACTTTTACTTCACCTATGCCATCCTAAGCCTTAACCAAAAGAATCTGACACTTTTACTTCACCTAAAACCATTCTATGACACTGACAAACAAATTAGAACTGTAAATTCAGGGGAGGCTAGTGAAGACAGTGGGAGCCAATATTCAGATGACCAAGTACTTCACCTGTACAGTGCATATGCAGTACATCTAAAAATGTACTCTATAGCTAACACTTTAAGTTTGCAGACAGTAAAGTAAACCTTAAACAAACTTTTAATACTAGGACAAACCTGAATGCATGGGACATATGGCAGATGAGAAATTTATTCATTTTATTAATTGCATGTCATGGGTAAAAAAAAAAACTAATACTTTAGCAAATTAGAAAAAAATTAAATAGTCTATCGAGCACAGCCAAATTTGCATACTAGACAACAAGACATTAAAAGATGTATTACACATCAGATCTTGGTAGCGATTGTACCTAGTTGGAAGGTTACAGCCACAAATTTTTGTTCAATTATTTCATATTTAATAATTTCATTGCTTACTTGAGTGCAGATAATATTGATAAAAATGTTAAATTGGCATTTGAAATTTACAAAATAGTTTCAGCCATTCTTTTTCAACCCACCATAAGCATCATTAAAAAAAATTTCAGATATTTTATTCTTTGACAAAAACAAAATGAAGAAAGACCAACGTTTTGTCTTCTTTTAACATAAAACTTTAAGTACAATAATAACAAAATTAACTGGTTATGTTGTGACTAAACTCATTTCTAAATTTTAAACACTGCATTGGATTTTTCATGACTTTTAACAGAAACAAAACAGCATTATTTGAAAGAAAATATATTTTAAAGATTGCAGCTCAATGCAGTATTAATAAAAAAAAATTCTATTAGAATAATATCCATTCAGACAGTTTAGTTTATTCTAGCGCCATATTAATACTCAATGTCTAGTTTTTTAATGCTGATATTTTTAATCATTGGGATGTAATTTAAACTTTTTTTTTTTTTACCTCTAAATAATTAATTTTAGACAAATTTCTATTCAAAAGGACCTCAACTTTTAAAAACCTGCCCTTTTTCTTTTTTCTTAATCCTGATATTTGTAAAGCATGATTACCATTAAAAAAAACTGAATACACATAATATCAAAGTGACCTTGCCCTTTAGAGCACCTGATGCCTCATCCACTGACAAATGAAAACAATATCGTATTATTGCAGTAGACCACGTCCAACTGTTTGTAACTATTTTCCTTCCAGTCATGCCAAAGTATGCTCAGTTCAGAGGTAAGACATGAAGAAAGACATGGATAACAGAATTCAAGGTTAGAGCTTCTAAAATCAAATCAAACGCATGAGAAAGCCATAGGCTATTGACAAGGCACACTGCAGTAGTTCATCAATTATGTATATCCTAACCCCATCTCATTAATTAATATTAACCAGAATCTTATCCCTAGCCATCAGGACTGAATACCTAGCCAATCAGAATGCAGCATGGAAGTAGCCTAAGCTCCCCAAACTAGTATGTATCACAGATATTTGTAATATAAACACCACAGTTTCTTCCACCCTCTCAAAAATTGATCATTACATTGTTGCAATATTTAAAACCTGTAAAATCAAAATAAAAAAAAATACATGGACTGTAAACATTGATTTCTGCTATATATAATCACTAACACAGACACATTAAAACCTTGATTGTAAAAGACGAGCTAAGTATTGCTTCCTGATACAAGAATAATACAACTGTTACATTGGCTCGTTTTAAGCCAGCTCTAGATGTTAATACTAAACCATAAAGTTATCTGTCCTTGGATATTATAGACAGGACACCAAACCTATTCAAACATTTCCATTATAACATTAATTATAAACAAAATGTAAATAAATTAAATACAAATTTTAAAAAGTGAACAAGTTCCCTGTGCAATACAGCCTAACACCAAAGTGAAGCCTGCTACAGCCTAACACCAAAGTGAAGCCTGCAAATGCTTTGGTCTATTCAAACAGTTAGCCATTTTGTTTTTTTAAATTTTGAAAGGGACGTAATCCAATATACAGTGTGAAGCTCTGGTCATACAATGGAATGAGAAATTTTAAAGTTTTCACCATCATGCCATTCATACCGCAGCATACATTAAGTCATACATGAGGTGTTGTAACAGGACATGCCATTCATACCCCAACATACAGTTATACCGCAGATGAAATCTTGCCTTGTTGGACTCCGGCTGTAATAATCCAGTAAGTAGCAAAGAAAAACTAAGTGACTCAATTTTTCATCAGTGGCTTCATTCAACCCAATAAAGAAATTTTTTTTTACTGCTGCAGAAAGTTGCGATGTATGAATCTCAGCACCACACTTATCCTAGAGGCCTAACGTGTTCACGCCACCTTTTGCTGCCTACGTCATTGCTGCGTTTAACTAACTGCAACGCTGAATGATGGGAGGTGGGGGAACTCGCAGCCAATTGAAAAAAATGAAAATCACAGCTTGTTGAAATATCTTTTTTAAAATACACCACTGTCATTTAAGATTTTTGCTGATATACAAATGTGTATATTCTAACTTGGGAATATCATTACTATGAATATTGTAGCCTTATTATGAGCTTACAACTAGGCTCTGAATTCTATCACTACTGTGGAAATCAGTAATTAAGAGGTACCCAGTTTGTGTATATTTACTATTTTAACAAGACCCATTACACTATTTTAACAAGATCCATTATGCTTTGCCAGACTGATGATAAGCTCCAAGTCAGAAAATTTCTAGTTAAAGCATATCCAAAATAACTACACTGGAATCTCAATGAGTGGCTCGCTTCCAGTGGGATCTTCACTGGAACCTTCCTTATGCCATTTCTAATAGGTTCAATAACATTCTTATTCACAATAACATTCACTCCGAGGACATTTTACAAAAATATTTCCTTAAAAATTGAACAAGTGTAGATTATTACTATAAGATACATAACAAACATAAAAAGTAAACATAGTTAAGGTAGTATTCAATTCAGCTTCACTATTAACTACCCATAATTATTCCAAATAGCAGCACATTGTGGGCCCGTTCTCAGTACAAGTGGATGAGCAATCAAAGGAGATATTAATCCTACACAACAGTGAAAGTAATCCAATCCAGCCTCAGCATCAAGGCCCGAAAACATGGAGTCACTATCATGAAAATAGCAACAAAGAGAGAAAACTGTAAACAACACATACATCCTGCGCTGGCAGCTGCTGCAAGCAAACTCAGCCAGTTGAATAGGTCAAAGTTGAATAGGTCAAGATCAAAGATTTGTTGACAGGCCGCTGGACACACCAGAGTCATCAGAAAAGTTGTTACTATAGCGACGGCAGTCCCCGCTGCCATCGCTACCCAGACTCTCCACGCTGCAGCGATCGTCACTGTCGCTTTGGAAGCCGCCGATAATGTCAATCTCATCTGAGGGTTAAGAAAATAAAAAATACAGTAAGAAAATTGTTTGAATTAGTTGCAAACATACAAGACAATAATAATTGAACCCCACACTTGCATGCATGCAGTTAAAATTTTAATATCAACCATTACTTTTATAGTTTAACAGCGAAATCAATTTAGAACTATTAAATGAGAAACTCAAAAAATAAAAATTGAAATAGTTTCATTGGATAATAATTAAGTTACATGTTTTTGTATTTCACACTTAACTATTAGTCGAAAATAAGTTCATTTACATAATGTTGATAATTGAGGCCCCAACTATATGCCCAGGACAGACCCCCCCCCCCCCCCCCCAGTGTAGTGATGGTGTAGTTTTTAACCACTAAATATAACCAAAGGAAAATTTAGCAGTCTCTTACCAGACTCTTCAGATTTTATAGACGAGGTAGATGACAAGGATGATGACGATGAATTAGTTGATGTACTACATTCACTTATGCTTCGCTCCTGGCGAACACGATATAAGCTGTGGTTATTTACTTGATGCAAATGATCTAATCTTCTACGAAGAAGTCGATTTTCTCGTTCTAACTGATCTCTCATAAGCAACGCCTTCCTCTCTTTTTCTTCTAAATTCTGAAAAAACAAAAACAAAACTGATAAAACTTTTGGGTAGTGAACAGAACTGTAGCAGTAACATTGTGATATTCATGTTCTCCAACAACTAACACAATTCCATATTGCGATTCAGTTATTCTTCAACCCAACACATCTCTTGTTAGTACAGACTAATAAGTTGGCCACGCCCACTACAAGTAAAACACTCGTGATTTAAACCCTCAAAATTTAAAACTGAATAAAAATAATTACAAATTTCTGAATATGCAAAGAAAAAACAACTAGGAACAAGTTGTAGGAGAACAATGAAACAAAAATAACTGCATGTTCTTTATTTGTGGTAATTATCTAACCCTAACAATGGAACTTTGTTGAAGATAAGTACCACATGTTTTCAAAACAAAAATTCTAATTCAACAAATAAAAATACCTATTTAATTAATTTAAAAATTCTAATAATATAATGCAGGATTTTATTTAGCAAAGCATTACAACAAATATAAGCTTTATTTCCAAATCAATGTTAACAGACTTAGCAGTATAAAATGCAGTGGACTGACCTTTATGAAAGACCTAGCTTTTGTTAAGAGACCTAGTGTGGTGTGGCGAGAAGAATCCACACCAAGTGGCACAAGGTCCTTTAACCTCTCCAAGCAATGTCTTAGGTGAGCTCTCCTGTAAGAACAAAAATCAATCCATTTAAAATAAAATCAACCTATAAAGTTATGTTCAATAAACATTTGAAGAACAACTAATTATTACAGTGCCTACAACAAGGCGAGGCATCTTTATAAAGTCCAATTTTTTTCCTACAATGATGATAGTTGCTATAGAGCTACGGGTTTTTATTAGATATAAGTCCAGTGACATTTAAAAAAAAAACGAGCGGGTTTTTTTTTTTAAAAAAAAAAGGTCACTTAAGGGCAACCAAGGCTTGCCTCTGGCCTTATATGACCTATGTTTAAATCAAACAATACAGATTTAATGTAAACAGTTTCCTCCCCTTGATTGATAGCTCCAAGAAGAATTAGCAGTAAAAATTTAACTCTAATTATGATTTTTGGTTAACTAAAAAATTGCTTAAAATCATTAACGAGTGTTCACAACTCCCCCCTCCCCACCTCTGCAATACCAAACAGTTGGGACGAGGCCTGCAGTTGGCATGTAGGTCAAGGTTGCGGCTATTCAACCTCAACAACAAACCTCGCCCCGCAACGACCTGCTGCCAGTTATCCCAGCAAGCTGCTACCTAATAAACCAGCACATTACTTTGTAGCCACCGCCAGCTTTTTAAATACTATATTAACATCAACAACCATCGGTGGCTGCTAAGTTATTTAACTTTGTGCATTAGCGTCTTGTTACTCTAGTAGTACGACCCGTTTTAAAAATACAATGAGATTGAACATGTATAAAAAAAGCTAGTATTAAAATAATGAATTATTACACTTTAAATTCTTTGAACACTTTAAATTGACCTCTCGTCATTTATGTTCAAAAATTCTACAATGAGTAAAGCATTTGATTTACATAAGGCGTTTCGATTAGTGACTGCGGGTCGGATTATAATAGCATATTCGAAATAGTTTTCTTAGCCATTTAGGCCAAATCTTTTCAGGACAATTATTCTAAACCCACGGAATTGCTTTTTTATCGATTGTGTCGAGAGTAGAATCTATATAGATTTAAATGAATACTGTTGATATATTTTCTTCTTAGGCTATAAGCGCAGTGTTTATTTTTTTACAGAAATACATTGAAAGATAGTCGCTAGGCCTTGTCAGGATGGGCCTAGCGTATTTCTCTGCGCATGCCCAATACTCGTTGTTGTTAAGAGCTAAAAATAGAACATCAACATTCCTATAAAAACGAAACTCCCACCTTATTCCTTACCCCGAAATATATATAAAAAAGCAGTTTTCACTTACTTTAATGAAGCAATAGGTATAAAGGTTAAACAAAGTTTTGTTTACACGGTTATAAAAATAGCCTGAGTATACTACTTTGAGGGGTGTGGGCCTGTTGGTACGATTCCGATTGTTAGTGTTAGGCTAACAACATAGGGCGTAGGATTTTTAAAGCTAGGTCTAGCTGATTTGTAACCGTTAGCGTTTTTTCCTAACGCGTATAGATCTAGATTATTATTAAATTTAATACTTGTATTTAATGAGCAACCAGATTTTCCCCCCAAAGATTTTAAAATCGTTATAAATAAGCTGGTAGCTTGCTGATAATGATTATTATAAACAAAAACAATACTAAATTCTAGCTACATTAAAGAAAATTATTATGAATTCATAAGTCACATTCACAAAAGTTATCATAAGCCTACACCACACACATATCCAAATAAATCCTTATGAAATATGTGAATGTAGCATCTCCAAGCAACAATAATACTACCAAACCAGCTTAAAATTGTTAACATTAGGTAGATCTATGATTAGGCTACATGTTACAGGATATAATATAACTTACCTGTTTTTTTCCAATTCGTTATGTGTAGATCTGTGAAATATACATAGAAATATGATGTCAATATTAGTCAAACAAATGGTTTTATTTTAAAGTTTATCAATGTCATTTTTGCTAAAAAGAATTGGGTCCAGATTAATCCTAAATGACAAATGTCAAATGACACGTAGATCTAGTTCGTGTGTTCTGTACAAGTTCCCTACCTGTTGCCCTGTGTCTTTTTGGATTTCGATCTCCTTTTTGAAGGATTGTAACTAAATTCATCTGGCATAGGTAGCGTTGAAGCATAGCCATGCTCGGCTTCTGTAATTTTACAGAGTGAAATAAATTAGGCTTAGCCTAGCCAGGCCCTGGGATAAACAAGTTTACTAGAATCTAGATCGAATCTATATTTTGGTACGATTCTTCCTGCTTTATAAAAGGCCATTTTGACGTCATTGTGTTAAACTTTAACCAACAGACGCAAGAAGACAAGTTTCACCTAGACTCTACATTTAATTGATTACATTTAGAAGGCAGTGTCGCAAAAAGTTCTTGATTCTAGATTTTCAACCTACGCCCTACAAGATCTAGAATCTATTCTAGAAATCTAGATCTAGATCTACACTCAGTCACTTCACTACAGAGAGTATGATTCAACGAACACAAAGACACCTAATCTAGATCTAGATCTATAATCAACTCGACTGAATCCACAGAAAGAGCTCATTTTAAATTATATCTAAGGAGTTAAATATTGAAAAACTTCCTCGCGATCAAGACTTAGGTAATAACACATAACTTTACAACACACAAAGGTCTATTCTATTTCACACGTACTAAAAATAGTTGGAAGTTAAAATGTAAACACTGGCAAAAAAATTGCAATCAGAAAAAGTAGATCTAGGAATCTAGTTGCCCGTACTGTACCTCTATCTCTTCTTTCAATAAATTCTGCTGCCTGTAGAAGTTGCTCAATACTGTGCATGATTGATTTTAATTAAGTAAAAGTTATTCGCGTTGAGAATCTCACAACTCTTTAGAAAGTGGTATCCTCTCTCCTTATCAGACTTGAACCCTACTAACTCACGTTATGTTGAGGTAGGCTAAATGAAAAGGAAACAACCAGGCTGCAAATGTTTACAAGCTCAGAAGCATTTGATTGGTTTTCTGGAACGGGAACAGCCAATGGCTGAGCTCGTTTTATCTCGCAAGGGAAAGAATCAGAAATTGATGCGGGTAGTAGAATGCGGGAGAGGGAGGTGACGTAGTCTTCGCTACTTCGCACGAGCTGAATGGCGAGTTGCTGTGGTGGTTTGCAGCAGGTAACACGAACACGCAACAAAATGCACTTCTCGTTAAAAGACACGAAACAACACAATGATGGTGTGTTTTAACATTCACAACAACATTTACTATAGTAATTTTGAAACTAACAACCCAAGTAACTTATTTTTTAGGACAAGAGGATTTGTTTACAAACAGCAACCATCTTTTTCATACGTAAACAGATCGTGACGATGGGCAAATCAATGCTTGCGGATTTTTTAGTTGCTGACATGGCGGATATCGATTGACATGAGTGATGTGTACACATACAATTACTTGACACAGTATTCATCTACTGAATTAACACCAATGAGTTGTTTACTAATGCTAGACGTTAGCTAAATGCTTAGATTATAGAAAGTAATAGAACTACTTTTTACTTATTTTATTAAAAGCCTAAACCTGCGTCCTTTATTTAACCAAAATATCTGCAGGCCTACGTATAGGGAGCGAGTTCTGAAAAAAAAACAAAAAACAACAAGCAACGATCTAAAGCCTGCACTTTAACTAGCCACAGGGTGGCTAGGCCTAACGTTGGCTGCATTCTGTAACAGTAGGCATACAATCTGCATTGCGTCCTGCCAATGTAAACATTACGTAGCTTGTGCTGTGCGCTAGATATGGATAACAGAGCCAGCCCTTTCCCTTCCCCCTTCATACGAGTCTTACTTCTGCTTCGACACACAGACATACATACATACATATAGTGTGTGTGTGCCTGTATGTGGGAATAAATGTACACATGACTAGGTGTTGGCCCTTCAGGCCTGCCACATAAGCGAGACACACACACGCACACAATGACACACACACTCAAGTTGGACTTGCCCTATAAACACGGTTGTTCGTTTCTATTCGGTGTCGCAACGACACATAAGTGAATTTCTTCACGTGTCAGTCATGTGGAGTTACACTGGTGTGTCTGTCATGTGGCGCGACACACTGGTGTGTCAGAAATGCGACACTACACTTTACTAGAGCATCATTTGTCTGGTTGTAACATTAGTTGTACCCCCCCCCCCCCCCCCCACCCACCAGACTGATGGCGTACTATCGACACACCTACCTCAGTATCTGATGTACTAAAACGTGACCTGACGTGACATAGCCTATGGAGAGATGAGGGATTCAAGTTTTTAAAATAGCAATGTTTATTCTTGTGTTGTATACCATAGTTTAACTGAATGAAGCAATGATGTTTTGAAGGATTGAGTAATGATTTTTAAAAGGAATGAAGTAAGGATTATAAGCGGTGATTGTTTAGGGCTGTTTAGAGTTTAAGCAAATATAGAGCGATGATTGTGTTGAGCTGTGCTCGGTAACTGAACGAGTGAAGCAACTGGATTGACCTAAATGAAAGCACATCTAATTATAGCTGGCCATCCATAACGAGGCCATTAGAGTGACAAACACACATCAGTGACGTTGTATGTATCGGCCTATGGGAGCTGGGCCCTCCCCCTTCCATGGGATCATAAAGACAACGCTGGGAGCTGTTCACTGCTGATAACGGCTCCCATTACCATTCGTGATGAATACAGCTTTGTGTTTGCAAGAACACAGAGCACCGCGTTAATAAAGCTAGTGACTTCTATATCACAGACATTCACAGATGTAATGTTTACAACCCTACGAGTATCAACACAGTTTATTTATATATGCTGTGAATATTGCATGGTATTGTTGTATTTCTCATTAGCTTATATTATTTTTCTCCAGTGTAAATAAACATTGGTCTATTACGGCAATATAATTGGCAAACATTTTCTGTTTCATCTTGTGATTCCGATATTTTGAGTTGTAAACGTACGACATTGAAGCAAGTGTGAGCTGAGACCGTTAATTAAAGTGTAGTGGCTCACAAGGAACGCGCCTTGAATGTTTGAAACTCTCCCGCCTGCCCCGCTTCTTGCTTTGTCTTGCGGCGGGAGGGGGGTGGGTGAGACGTGGGGTCAAGTGTTCAGCTTTTACTCAACGTTTACATTCGGGTTTCTGGAGAGAAAAAAAAAACTGGAGCGACGCCATGAAATATTTGTCATGGTTCAGTGAGTGAGTTGTCTAGTTCGTGTATTAAAATATTGGTCATGGTTCAGTGAGCATGTTCTCTGGTTCACTTGTAAACGCCCAGTCACGTGACAAAGCCTGGCTCCTGGTTAGTAAGTCCGGTAGATAAGGCTGCCCGTTAACCTAACTGTCCTCAGCAGGTCATTCCATCCAGTCAGACTGACCGCATTCTTGTTGCTTGCCCCGAACGGCCGGCCACTTGACCCGTGTCTAGTGACCTTTTGGTCAGCTGTTCAGGGCAGTGACCCCAGCTCGTTAAATTAGTCATGCCTGTCTTGGCTATCGCGCAATCTACCTGCCCCCCCCCCTCCCCCTGGCTGTACCGTTACCGCTGACCCGAGGCGGCATTATCAGAGGGAGAAACGTGATAAGACATTGGACTGACCATCGGCCTTAGTAGGTATTAGATCTATGTTGAGTACTTGAAGATATTTCATTGGGATGCAAGCAGTAACGCACTCCAAAGACGCAAAAGCACATGTACATTTATACATGAGTATAGGATTAAAACGTATTTAAACGATAGGTTTATATAGATGTATATATATATATATATATATATATATATATATATATATATATATATATATATATATATATATATATATATAGTGTATATATATATATACGTGTGTATGTGTGTGTGTGTAAGTATGTATACACGGTAGGAGACACAACACATACACGCAACACACTAGTTTCTTGGACCAATTCTAGCAGTGATTATTTGTTGTGTAAAGGTTACATGATAATGCTTTAATTTCTCCTTGACATTTAAAACAGGCCTCTCTCTCAGCCGGCTCTGGAATGATCGAGAACAAAAGAGCCACAGGTAGGAGGTCACCTCTCTGGCCATCCGGCTAACGTAAGCAAGTCTCGAGTCTATGTGTGCTAAATTTGGCGATGATGGATTGAAGCGGTGTTCTCACGTTGAGCTGACAGGGGTTCTGGTGCTGACGCTGAACTTTGGCAGCAGAACACTAGGTCTTGTGTTGTTGCTAGTGCAGTACAGATTGAGGATCATCGATCAAGAGATATGGTATTGATTGATTTAGGCTCGAGGCCATGTTTAAATCTGGTGCTGATTCCGACACCACCGTGTAGGCCTATCTGCATGGCGTGTTTCTCGAGATAAATAATTGTCTAGTAAAATACCAAGCTTTATCTATGTGTTGGCTCGTCCTTGGGTTTAGTGGTGATTTAGTCTGTTTGTTTGTTTGTTCGTCTTCTTGCTAGCTCACTATTTTAGTAACTTGGTAAACCTTTGTTAGTCTTTATTTTCGTCCTTAAGTTCCCTCGCAATTTTATTGAATGTTTTATTATACATTTGTATATTTGTCCTTAGGTTAAAAGGGTGTTGTCACATTCTATATCACAAATAACGGGTTTATCATTTAGTTATATTGTGTTATATTGTGTTATATGTTAAATAAGACTCTTAGAGGTGATTAAATCCAGCGAAAACTTTTATTGATGGTTTAGTTAACTTACAGTGATTGGTTATGCCGTAGACAACATTGTCACCATTAATTAATGGTTCCTGTCACCAGCTACCCATAGGGTAGTGTCACCTTTAATGGCCCAGTTCACCAGTTATCCCTTCACGACTGTCACCACCACTACACGTGTTTCACCACGCACTACTACATGTATCACCATTACATACACATGTCACCAGTCATCGTTTCAAAGGCCAGTGTCACCAATCACCACTGCACTCCTGTATCACCATTACATACATGTGTCACCAGTCCCCATCACAACAGCCAGTGTAGCCACTACCACCAACCCACTACTTACAATGTATGACTATATTTATCGAAAACATGAAAAAGAAACGACCACATATTTCACACATGAAATCAATCACTTGTATTGATTAGCCCTCCCCCACGGGTGACATTATTGATCAGGGACATACGTATCGATACCAAATTACATTTTTGCAAATTATAATTACTCTTGCCAGATTTTTAGACGCAAAGTTTCAAAAATATATCTGTTGTGGACAGCCCCCCCCACCCCCGGAGAGATCCCTGAAAGAAACTCCGGACAGCATTAAATGTCGTATTGACAGTACATACATCTATTACTTGATGACCAACCATATGGTATCCACTTAAATGGCCTGTATTCTTTTTATTACTGACCAACAGATGACCCCCAACTGACCAGAAACAGACTGTATTACTTTGACTATGAAACAGGTTCTAAACCCCTACCAATATAAACGAGCCTAATTAGTTTGACGTGCTGTATGTCTACCCGAGGCCTTAGCAGGGCTATTAATTAGAGACCATACCTCCACATAAAAGATCGCACCAACTCGCACTCTCGTCCGTCATTTTAAAGCACAATAAAAACGGTTAACTGTTTGTATACACGGCTATTTTTAGACGTCTATTTTTGGGGCTGACACTGGTTTGTCACGTTGCTTGTTGCAACAAGTTCAGAATTTGAACAACTCCCTTCCCGCTTGGCTAACTGTCGGTCGTGGCCACGGCCATGTATGTCAGCAGACGTGGATTGGGACACAGCGTAGGCTATGTTTGCAGACGTGGAGAATTCACATGCCGTTTTCAAAATAAAACTTACTACGTTATTTATAATTTATAGGGAAAGGAGGAGGGGGGTGGTAAACACTTCAAAGGGAGGTAACTGTAGACTTATGACGTGTCAAAGAGTTAAATAACCAAGTTTGAATAGAAGACTGATATTTAAATATCTCAGCT